TGTACAAAATGGCTGTTACTGTGCTATTAAAGTTCTCTTTATTCAAACTCATACCGTCCTGTTTTATTTCTCGGCAGAGATGGGTGATGGCACAGGAAAACCTGGCAATGACTCGGACTCTGACAGCGACGCCAGCATGGACAGGAACAGCCTGGAGCTGGCCTCCAGTCACTCGTCCGACGAAGACGACGAGTTTGACCTCAACCCGGGCTGGGAGAACCAGGTCCCCAAAAGCAAGGCTGTTGGTCAGTTTTACACCCCGATATTTGAGCTGGGTGGTTGGCGGGTGCTGTGGTGTCATTTGCTCCTTTGTTTTAACTGTTGATTTGGACTTTTTGTGTGAGTTTGTTGTTCATGATATTTTTGTATGTTCCGAAATTGAAAGAGTTTTCCCATTGTTTTCTCAGGAATTTTTTTTTTCTAAATCTGGTTTGAAGTTTTTAGAATTTTGTTGTTTAATGAGGGTTCCACTTTTACATATTCTTTTTCAGTTTCTGTCTCTCCATCTGTCTTGCTTTCCTCTGTTGAAATGACTGTTATCCTGTTAATGGACTTCACCTACACCAAATTTTAGATGATAATTTATTGATACAGAATTTTTTTTTTTTTAATTTCAGAGCAAGCCTTAGAGCAGATAGAAAAGATGAAAAAAGACAAAGAGAGAGAACGACTTGGGAATAATGCTGAGGGTAGGTGCTGCTCTTTTATTTGTTTTAAGGATCATGTGATTTCTTTTCTGGATTGTGTTTTTTGGATGAGAAGTTGGTGGATGATTTGTACTTTTTGCTTCTGCTGTTGAAATACAGTTGAAATTGTCTTCGACGGCCACCCATTGTTTTGGAGAAAAGTGGTGGTATTAAACAGGTGGCCATCGTAGGCAGGACTGATTAAATAAAAAATAAAAATCGTTTCCTTCTGAAGTCCCAATTAGTGAAGGTCTGGGTAGGTTTGACTGTAGGCTATTTGCCTATATCTCTCGTAAAGGATTGTGGGTGATATTGGTATTTTACTCAATGTTCACATTGTTAATCTTCTTACCTTTTAATTGGGACTGTCTGTATTCAATCATGTACTGGAGAGAAAGCAAGACAGAAAGAGAGAGAGAGAGAGAAAGAGATGGAGAGAAAAGATCACTATTGGAACTGGAACAGCACCGGGCACATGTTCTTTGTCTCATTATATAAAACATTTTGAGCATTTTCCTAGTCCTAGTGGACTTGCGCTATATAGCTGAAATCTATTCATTCATTTTGTTTATCATCCCCCAGATGTCCCACTGGAGGAATACCATGGCAACGAGAGTCCTGGAGGCAGGAGGATGATCCCACCACCCCCACTGGGTCCCAACCCTCCTGATGTCACTCTGTCTACTTTACACAGTGAGCCTGCCTTTTTCATGCCTTGGAGGAAGAGACAATAGACTTCTTAGAAGCATAAAAATGTCTTCTCAACTTTTAAAGTTTATTACTTGATTATTTTTTTACCCTTTTATCTCCATCAAGGCTAATGTCTCAGATTCAGACTTGAGTCTTTGTCATAGATGTTTGAAAAAGAAGATACTTTTGCTTGGTCTTTAGACAACAGGTACTGAGTTTTAAATATTTTTTAAAAAGTATTATCAAACAACGGGGAGAGAATAGTGGCTCCCTGTGAAAATAGCCAGACATTCGATTGAGACTGCTAAGTATAAATGGAGAAATCACATCTTTAATTAGCAGTTAACTATAGAAGCTAGTTGTACTATGTACGATTGTGAATGATGGTAAATGCTGCAGTTTTGATCTTTTGTATTGATATCCACCCTCCTCCCCTTAAAAAAAATTGATGTGAAAGAGCTTTTTTTTTGTAATTATGTTGTGTTTGCTTTGGTCGTACGGCACTAAAAGATATTTTTTAGGTTTGATTATTTTTGCTTTGGTCGTCCAGTGACTTTGTAAGTATATATCTGTGGGTGGTAGGCGGGTGCTCTGGTGTGGTTTGCTTCTTCTTTCCTATGAAACATCTATCGTCCTTATCTTCCCTTCTTTTTTATGTCTGTTATTCTCTTGTAACACCTGTAATCTTTTGACGCTCTTATGATCGTATGCAGTTGGGAGCGCCATAAAACCTCTACTAAAACTAAACTAAAAGTATATATCCGTTTTGTTTGATTAGGTCTACCAAACTTAAAAAAGACACTGTTTATGTGTTACATATATATATGTTGTTTGTTCAGGTCGTCCGGTGCTGCCCCCAGTGAGGTCGGACAGCCTGCCGTACCCACCACCGGCGAGCAGCCCACGACAGCCGTCCAACACAGTGCAGGTCCTCACACACAACGGCAGCATATCCTCAGACTCGGAGTAAGTCGGGACTCTCAAATCATGAACAGTCATTTTTTTCTTCATCTGTGAGCTACTGTGCCATCGCAATCATCTTTGCCAAAGTCATCTTGAAGGATTGTCGGTGTTGCCATCTTCGTCATTATCATCATCATCATCATCATCGTTATCATCGTTCTTTGAGATTCAGCGTCATATCCTTTGGGAACAGGTTGTATTGGAACAGGCATCAACCTCTTCAAGGCAGATGTCAACAAAATTCATCACCCTCATCAAAATCATCTTCGTCATCGTCATCAACGTCATTATTAACTTTGGTGACGGCCGTGCCTGCATTATTCATTGTGATGTTCGTCGTCGATGAAACGTTCACAGCTCAAAACAGTCGTCTTCATCCTCGCTTGCTTCATCGTCTCTCCCATTTGCATTGCACATCACACATGGGGTGCATGTGAACTTGAATCATATTGCCCTCCCCCCTGTCCTCCAACCCATAGTGGTGATATCTCATGTCCAATACCCTCATAGTCATTGTATATAAACAAAGATAGTACAAGACAAGATGGGCCACTCAGCCTAAAAAGTGTCCTCAGGAAGTATGCTCTTTGCTTCAGATGGCGCTGCAGTCTGTTTTGAAGCTCTCTTTCGTTTTTCCAGAAGAAGAATAGGAATAGCACCTCCTTGCGTGCGCAGATCGACTGCTGTTCATCAGCAGTTCGGGTATGTTCAGTGCGGAGTTTTAGGTTTTTAAAATTTTAATGACCTCTCGCCCTTCATTCTAAAGTCAAATTAAACGAAGAAAACCATCTCCTTTTCCTCCGGAAGAGGTTTTTTGTCAGCGTAACCATTTTTAAAAAGCGTTCTTCTGAAATTTATCCCAAAACTTGCTAGTTTCACTTTGATTTTTTAAAACTCAAGTAGGGTAACTCTGTTCGCAAAGAGTGCGTTTTTGTGAAGAGGGCGCCACCAAATTTTGAGGACACTTTTTTAATTGGCTCAAAGAGAGAAGTGGCCCATCTTGTCTTGTACTATCTTTGGTATAAATCATTAGTTTTAAAGACATTATCTTTCTTGGTGATGGTTGCGATCAATTGGCTTGATATCACACATCGCACATAGGAGATGTATATGGGCTGTAGTGTGCACCATTTAAATGGCTTCTTATCCTGCAATTAGCTGCACTTGTAATAACTCTAGACAAGTAGACCAAAGCTTCACTCTGCTGCTGTCTTGGCTCTTTGCTATGCTTCGTACTCTCTAAGAACTGTAGTAATGAAATAGTCAATGGAACATGATGCAGTCGAGGTTGCTGATAGCTTATTTGCTGAAAGTTTATTGCTAGTTATTATTAAATATTTGGAATGATTCAATTTTTTTCCTTTCTTTTGCTTTTTTTTTGTAAACCTTACTTAATCTATTATTGATTTTTCATGGTGTAGGAACTGTAAAGAAGTAGGAATTCCTAAAAAGTTTGTATTTCCACTGTTGCTGGCTCTGTTACAGTGAAATAAATTTTATAATGGTTACGTAAAGGAAAAATATCCCCATCTATGTTCTTTGAGGTGTGATGTTTAAAATACTTATTATTAATCAATGGAAGAGCATAGATCCAAGGAAATGTGTGTTTAGTCTGTACACTTGTGACATTGGTAACTTTGCTTATTGTTAATCTTTACTTCAGTTCGAATTGTATTACCATAACATAGAGAAGACAAAATTGTATTTCTGTCTATATTTGGCTTAATTTGAGCACACACACACTCTTGATTTGTAACTTAAATGGACAGAATTATATTCAGCTGTGTTTCTGGACTTTGATATTTGACTGCTGGCAAATAAAAAGGATTGTTGCTGCTGCTGCAAATATTTGTTGAGTGTGCCAGCAAGATTTTTATCGTGTGCCAAGCTTTATATTTTATGTGTCTTTTCATTTATTTGCTGAAAAATGTAATGTAGTAGTCTCCGCCAAAGATCCCACCGCTTACGATCCTGGTTCGCTTAAGATCCCGCTGTTTTAAGAAAACAGAATTTTTTCTATACAAAAGTCACCCCTAAGATCCCGCTCTGATTGACCCTGAAGGTCTACATTTGGCTAAGATCCCGCATTTCACAAGTTTTAATGTCTTACAGGTCAATAAGATTTTTTTATAAGTGAAAGATGACTTCTTTTATTCTGGTGGAGAATTTGGTAACTGTAACAAGGATAAATACTTAAACATCCTGATCATTCATTTTCTCTCTCCAAAGTACGTTCAGTTCAATCGCACTATCACCTTTTGATGATCACCAGACTACAATGCCCTGATTTAAAAGCTAGGATTAACTTGTCTTGCTCAAGTACACACACCCACAAAGACCACCCATTTACATACTAAATTGCCAGCATTGCTTGACTTTGCTTGTGATTCGATGATAAAAAATCACTCAACCACAGGGAGCTTCATAGTGATTGCCTTGGTTTTGACTTGTAAATTGTAATAGAATCTGAAATCTTAAGGTCCGAGTTAGTTTGTGAGCAGTTTTTATCTCGGTAGGTGGTGGTGGTGGTGGGGGTAAACCTACCACGCCGGGTCCCTTTCTTGGTACTAATTGGTACTAAGTCTAAAAATGACAAAAACGTCACTAAATTGGTCATTAAATCAAAACAAGTAGACTTATTTTGATAGTTCTTCATTTAATGAATGAACGCCTGGTAAAAGAGATCGGTTTTTAGCAATTGATGAAAAGTAATTTGATGTTGAAGTCGTCGTTTAGGAATATGCCCGAGTGGCTTACCAGAGATAAGGAGTTAATGTGCTGTTTTGCTCCTCACAGACATAGTCTGTTTCATTGCTTTCTGTGGAGTTGTAACCAGGAGTGCAAAAAGCAGCCTCCTTCCAGGTTGGGTATTTTTATGGAGGGGGCAAGAATTGTAAACTTCACTTCACCCACTTTCCATGTTTTGGTTTATTAAAATGTTTATTTATGATACTATTTGTTAATCGCTTAATTCATTCAAATATGATATGCTTTCATCTGACATACTAACTTGTTTGTGTGCAATGCTTTTATGGTTGTGGGAGGCCTTGCTTAGTGTGCTGTCAATTCTGAAATGTTTGGGAATGTGTAGTCAACCCACTTTGATTTACTGGTGCCTTCTTATATCTGTGCCGCACTGCATTTGTATGGTTCAGTGTTGAGTTTCTGCTTCTTATTACAAAGAGAATTTTTATTGAGATTAACATTAACTCTAATTTGTACATCTGTAGTTCAAAAAGATTAGGTCTTGTAGCAGTATTTAGGATTTCTCTCACCTTCTCTTGTACACAGACTTTGGGCACTGCTACTCTCTATTATGCTAATTGTTTCCGCTGGGCTCTTGAGTAGTTATGAACATTTTCACCTTTTTTTTTAAAAGATAAAGTTATTCTTTGTTTTCTGTGGGTGTTTTTTTTTCACCATAAGGCAAGACCTTCACATGTGGTGCTTCTCAGTTGTGTCCCTTTGTTTACCACTATTTGTTTTCTAAAAAGGCAGCATGCATTGAGTAAAATATTGTATCAAAATTCTTGAGCACATTGCTTCAATAAGATACCTCAATTTTGTATTGCTTTACCAGTATGCTGTTTTGCTTAGGTTTTAAAAAAATTACTCGTACTCTTAGCCCAAGTTCAATTTGGTCTAATAAGTATCGTGCAAAGACATAGTTTTTACTACTGTGTTTATAGGCATTTGACTGTAAGACACACAGCCTTGAATGTGGTGTGCTTCATTTTTTAGGATGTTATAAAGACTAGATCTTTTATTGTCATACTACACAAGTTTTTGACAAATTGTGATTATGACAATTAGCAAAACAATAGGAGTCCAACTTATCTGTTATATATAATAATGTTTCTGAGTTCAGTCATTTGGCAGTGAAATAAATGTTTAAAATGCAGTCCAATTGTACAGTCTAAATCAATGTAAATGTATTGTAACATGTTTAATTTTATTTTATCGGATTGAAAACAATATTTTTTCTTGTAAAGTATTTTCCATGCTTCAGTTAGTTATCTTTTTGTCACATTGATTAATGAGTGTGCCAAAGCCCCATATGATAAAGGATACTAACTTTCTGACATTGTTTTTTAACTCTTTCTGTCTCATCTGATCAATGTAGTGTTTCTTTCAAACAATACTAGTTTTAGATTTATACTCTCTTCTGGCGTTGGTGGAGACAAATATTGAGATTTTTATATTTCATTGCTTTGTGCTTTTTTAATTATTAGTTTTCTTTGTTGTTTTGTCGTTATGCTTTTCCTGTTCAGATTCTCTTTGTAAGATTTCAAGTTCGTAAGAGCAGTAAGATGTGACAGAAATGTTGATTAAGGATTAATGTGTAAGGATATTGTATGCCCATTAGAAATAACATTGCCAAAATGGGTCTGATGCATGGATATTTATTATATATCAATTTTTGGGCTTGGGAGTAATGTGGTGAGACTTTTCATTTTTTGGGGGCCACAGGAATGTCATGTCAGACAATTGTCTTCCTACCCGTGCGTAGATTTACGTATATAGGTACATAAGAAAATACTCACCTTAACATTTTTACAGGGGTATGGGTAAGGAGGGAGGTGTGATATTTCTACACTTCTGTATGGTGTAGTTGTAGTGTGCTCACCCGCTGGGTTTGAGGTCTGCAGTTTGATTTGTGCTTTGGATTTTTTAAAGAGAATGTTAAGGCTCAGACTTTTGGTGAAAATAGAGCTATGACTCTGGCACAATCTTGCTGTCATTGAGGTTGTGGAATAGAACTTGTAAAACTTATGTAGTCTTCACGAGTCATTCTGATATTATCCAGCTTTTACATGAATGATGTGAACTAAATACACAAACAGCTTCCTGTCTCTTGGTTTTATGAGGAAAGGAATACAAGTAAAAGAAAGAAAGAAGAAAGAAAATGATGTAGGTGTAAATGTTGACATTTTAAAAAAAAGTGTCGTGTGGTCAATATGGGAAAATAAATGATTCCTCAAAACATGGGCAATGTGAAACAACCTTTTGTTGCTCTTGCAGTGAAAATGCTCAACTCTTACCCTGTTGCAAAAAAATTTGAGCTCTTCGTTTTTCTTGTGACAGCGGTAATCTGATCAGGTACATAGAAAGTTGTCTTTTGCTCTACAAACTGTGGGCATATTTTTCCGTCCCCACAGGAAGACCACAGTAGAAAAATTATCTAAAGTCACAAACTTGAAACTCTTGACGTATTTCCTTTTAGCGAATGCACTACAGTACTTACTTCTATGATTTACATTATTTTTTGTGAGAATGTAGGTGTAGTAATATAAAATACAATCAAATTCCAGTGTGTTTAAAACTTGAAAATATGGTGTTCTCTAAATCTGGAAACTCCAAACATTGATCGTTTTTTCGTTTTGGTCGTCGAGAAGTGCATTAAAATCAAAGTCCTACTTTTAGGTGCATTTGTTTGTTTATTTTCTCTCTTCCCCCCATTCAGATCAAGTGAGACAACGGCTTGAAGACGGTCACTAAATTCTTCCCAGGCTCAATGTTGTGACTTTTCTGTCTCCTTCCCTTGACCCCCTACCGTACACTGTTTATGTGTGTGTGTTCTGTACATGATGCGAAGTTCTAGTAAGAGAGGCAGCCTCAAGCATGGAAAGAACCACAGTGCTCCCATCTGTCTGTCTTTGTGCTCCTGTGGAGAAGCTTTGATGAAGTGAATATCCAGGAAAGTTGGCTGGGCCTCTATATACATAATATATGGTATATATGTGCATGCATACTGTCCCAACTTTATAGATGGTAAACTGCTACACCTCTCCCATTGCATATGGAAAGAACCTTTTGCATCTGTTTATGATAAAGCAGTTTTGAGGTCTAATAGAATACAAGAGCCACCTGCAATAACTGAGTTGTATGAGCATTTTCAGTAAACTTACATTATTCATGCTTCATGATATTTGTACATTGATGTAGAATCATAATGTCACATCACTGACACCGTAAACTTCCTGTCCTCATCAAGACTCATTCCTTTTCATATACGGAGTAGGCCTATGTATTCCTTTAATGTAAGATTGCTCAATGTATCCTCATTACTCTGATGCATTTGAGATGTCAGATTTCGACACTGATGAGATTTTATTTTTCTATTGGAAGTTGAGATCTAGTGTACAGAAGTACAAGAATGCTTTATCATCAGGATAAGTACCTTGGAGCTGAGAAATAGTTCAGATCTGTGAGACCTGTTGGTGTTATGAATGAGAAAACTATCAAGTCAATGCGATGCAGCACTGTTAAAAGTGGAAGTCTAAAAATCACAGAGGAAATTGTATGTTCGTGCTCAATAGTAAATATGAATTGTGCATGATCAAGAGATTTTCAGGTGAAAGTGATGTACAATGCACTTGCTTTAGTGTGCAGAAAGGAAACATTGTATCCTCATCAAAACTCTGCCCTTTCACTTTTAGTTTTAGGAAGAGTAACATCTCAATCTGACGGGCTCGGTGCAGACCTCGACGTTATTCTAAGAACCTCAGAGTTTCTTTAATTTTTGTGTTTCTGTGATACCTAAATGTATTGCCACGTGAACTGACGGCGTAATCGCCCACCTCTGCATACAGTAAATACTCCTGTCTTAACAGTATCAGATTGTGTGTTGCTGAACTGTTACTTTGTAGTAGAAGAATTTTGTTTACCACTTTCAACTTTGCTTAGCAACTTGGCTATTGCTTGACTCTTTAGCTCCAGAATTATTTTCCACATTTTGGCAGAATTTGTTCCAGATATTGTGAAACACATAACGAGGCATTCACGAAAAATATTTTTAAAATATCTAAAATTGTGTCAAAGTGAAAAAGGAAGTAGTTTATACATTTATCTAACACTTCCGAGTCAAAATAAACCTATTCAGATTTGTAAGAGATTGCATTAGCAGTAATGCTTCATGCACTCCATAATCTGACTGGACGCTGGGACGTCCACTCCGGGTTATAGAGTTCATTTTTTTCTATGTCGTTACAAGAGTTAGATCTAATGGTTAATAAATTTGCTTACCGGAGTCTATGGTGTAATGGTTAGTCCTCTCTCCTTGCATGCACAGTATATGAATTTGATTCCAGTTTGGGGAAGTCGTGTTTCTGATGGGATTCTGAGTCTCACTCAGCCTCGATTGGCACGGACAGGCAGGATCGAAAAAGACCACCTCATTAATAGTCTAAATTTTGTTGATAAAGTAGAGTAAAATTTTTTAAAGGATCCTAATTGTACTCATTTATAAGCTCTATGTGGAAAAGTTGCAATTTTTACAAAATTAGAAGTTTGTCCAGTATATGGGTGCTAGCCTCTAAATAAATTGTCAGGTTCTGATCCTACCTTTTTGGCTGGTCTATTACAGGAGTAATTCAGCCGGTATACTGCCACTTTTTTGCTGTGCTCTAGGTGGAACCCATAATGTAGATTACAATATCCTTTGTAACAAACTTCATAGTTATGCTTGTTTTGTCAACTTGTAATACTATTGTAAATGTGTGCAGAACATTTCATGTAGTGCAAAGATTTTAGAATACGGTGACCTGTTTGACAAAATTGACAGCTCATCCTCTGTTCAGCTGCATGGATCTCTTAATTTTTATTGTCCTGAAGAATCACATTTCAGTCTCTATGATTCTGTTACAGTGCAAACAGCATCATTTATATCTCTCTGAAACACCCCCCCCCCTCCCCAGCTTACACCCTTTTAGCTATCATCAGACTGAGTTTGTAATAGCAGTGAAGACTTGCAGGCATAACGTCGTAATGTTTTATTAGCTACAAAAACAATGTACTCAATACCATTTGATTCTTGACTCATAAACCATCATCTCACAAGTTCATTATTTTCACTCTCATACAATAAATCCAGCATTCTACTTTAGCATTGTATACATTTGCCTATTAATGAGTCACAAATGCATGATTTTGTTATGTGTGTAAATTGAAGTGTGCGGAAAGATGAGGAACACTGTGAGAATGTGAACTGGCATTGTTAAGTAAAAAGACTGTCTACTCAAGGGACAAGACCAATAATTTTTATTTAGTGCCAACTTTGCATCTCTCACTCCTTTATGTTTATTTTATTCTGTGGAATGTAGATTTATGATCCTGGCTGATAAGTGTAAGGAATCATTGTCCCTTAATTTTGCGCGTTTTATTTGTCTTTGTATTCCTGTTGAGCTGCCTAGACTTTACGTACCTCAGTGTGAGCTCTTGATTACTACCGGTATATCGTTCTTGGGTTTTTTCTGTTTGTCTTTTTAAAGAATTACAAAGTAGGATATTATGATAAATGTTGTATGCACAAGAGTATGTCGATTCTGCTTGTTGTTAAAAAATTTGTTATATATACATACAAGATTTGAATATGTTGTAGGCCTACTGTTTGCCTTGGAAAGCCACCAGTTGTCAGTTGTCCTGTAATTGTACAGAGCATTTTTTTTGTCCGTCTATATTTTATTTTGTGCATCTGTCGGCCTTTTGTTTATATTAAATTATATGTTGTGTGATGAATTTAAAGTGATGTGAGCATGTTTGAGCAGTGCTCTGACTTCTACTGGTATGTTTGTATGTGTGTGTGTGTGTGTGTGTGTGTGTGTGTGAATACAACTAATGTGACTGTGTATTAAGAATAAAAATGTATGTGGCATGTTGAGCAATGCTATTGTCCGCTGAGAGAGTTCTTCTCATCTCTGCCAGTTTCAGTAGAATTGTAGTGTTAAAACGTAGTCATGTTCCGGGTACCATGAGATATGATTTAGAATGGCAGGGGTTCAAAGTGTTATCTTTAGACTACATTATAAACATATGAGAACACATGAAAAATGAGAATAGGCACAAACTGAAAATCATGAGAGTATCAATTTTAAACGCTTGTTGACTCATAACTGTAATTCTGTTCAACTGTTGGTTCATTATTGTGTTAGATTTCCCATTCAATAATCATAGCAATAAACCACCAGTCAAACAAATATGAAGTCTTCGAGTCCAAAAGCGTTTAAAATTGATGCACCCACAATTTCCAGTTTCTGACTGCCTGTTTTTCCCCTGGGCTCCTCATGTATGATACATCTTGATTCACATAAATAGAAACGAGGGTTTAAACTATACTAAATGAATAATAATTGCATAGGTCTAATGCATTTCTTTAGTTATTGTCCTTTTTTTTATATTTGAAATTATTTAGTCAACAACGAGGACCAATTTCTCACAATATGTGCAAGACACACAAATCAACATGTTCTTCCATTTAGAATTTTTTTTTAAAGTACCTCTTGTATGGGAACATTGGTAGATAGGAGCTCTCCACTGAACTAAGATTGATTGTCAAGTGCTTTGCTTGTTTCAGTTCAACATTCCTACTTAAATTTTCTTTTTTCATATTCTTATTTGCCTCATGTAATGTAAATCTCCTGGGTAGTTAATCCATGACTTGCATACAGCCGAAGGTAACCATTGTAAGTTGGCCTTTCTTTTACATTGTACATTATTTACCTTGCAGCTCTTGGAGAAAAAAATCCATGTCCACAAATATATATATATAATATATGTATGTTATGTCTCCGTTCTTGTTGTAAATGCTGAGTTGCCACATGCGATATGGAACAACAATACTAATTACAATACAATGCTTTTTTATACACCTATTTTATTTATGCAGTTTTAAAGCCTTTTATTTCCAAACTATTTTGTACAAATGATTGTTTTCCTTATAAAAGATCTGATGCATCTCGAAATAAATGATTCTGTGAACATACTCTGCATTCTTGAATGTTTCTTACAACTTGGAATGAATGAAAGGAGTGTCTGAAGCATTCATTGGATGTTGTTGTTATCGATCCAGAAGCATTCACTGGATAAACTGTTTCTTTCCCAACTTTTCTCCTTGTCTATTGACTTCTAAAAGATACAGGGCATTCAAAAAAATTGTGCCCTCTTCTTCTTCTCTCACAACTTATGGCATGACCCTCTAACAGAGTGTTTTTGAAGTTACTTGAACTTTGGTTTTCCAAAATTTCAAGACTCCCATCTTTTGAGCTCAATCCTATCACATGTGTGTGTGCCTAAAGAAATGTACAAAAAGTCGGATTTTGACCATTTTGAGTTAAGGCTTGCACCTTGTAGAAAATTCAGGGCTGAACACGGTGCCGTTTGTTGAATTTTTGAGTAGTAGTTTTTGAGATATTGCACATTTTGTGAGGTAGGGTATAAAGATCTAATTTTGAGAAAATTAGCTTTTCAGTTTAGGACAAACTTATCTTACAAACTTGAAAAAAAACCCCAATAATTCAATTGTTTCTATGTATTTTTTTTCATGGAAAATTCATTTCCAATTTGGAATTCAGTTGACATCAATATCATCATTATTATTCAATAGCAGGGAAGAGAAAACATGCTTCAAGAATCGATTTTAACACCTTCTAAAAGCAGTTTTGGTTATATCTTTAAAAAATACCCTAGTCTCAAAATTATTCTAAATAAAATATTCAGAAGTCAAATCAATGAAAACCCTTTTAACACATTGTTAAAAAATGGAGGAACTTTTCATTTTTTATAATAGAAACACATTTTGGTTAAAGAAGTGATTTTTTGTCATTATTAGCCTGTAGCTCAAAATTCTCTGTGGCGACTTTTTGTACCTTTCTTTAGGCACACACACATATGTGGACTTGAGATGAGGTCTTCCTTTTCTACAACAAATGCTGCTTGCCAATGGGCCATGCACATTTACTGCATTTGTGTCAAGACGTGATGGAATCAGACGCTCGTCAATTTTTGGGCATATGGGGTAATTGATATAATCTTAATAAAGCCTGTATTATATCTATGTTGCATAGAAGTCAAAATATTTTCGATTGAAGGGGGTCAGGGTCGCCTGGTTTCAGAGGTCAAATTAGTGAGGAAATGGCTGCCAAAGTTTGGTAACTTCCATAACCTGAGAGTCCTTGGAAACTGAAAATTTACATTTTTTGTGCCTTAATCAATGTTTTTAAGTAAAATCCATACAAAAATGTGTTTTTAAATGGACATAAAAATAAAAGATGTAGAACCAAAAACATTTTCCATAGAGGCCAAAAAAATGCAGATTTCTTTGATTTCATATGACGATGAGCCTGATTTCACCACGATGCCTCACATTTAGTAGCGAAAATGTTTTGACAGAAAGTATTTATCATCTAGACTGCATGCTCACATACAGGGTGATCAAAAAAAAACTTTACTACTTGTTTTGTAAATATCTTCCTCCATACTGAAGTTTTGCGTTTCAAATTTGAACATAACGTTTGGAAGCCAAAAGGAATTTTTCTGATATGTATTTTAAATAAGTTCATTGAATGGTTTTACTTTATATAGCGCATTAAAAAAAACAAGCCATTTTCATAGCATGATGCACCAGTTCGCATTAGGCCTACAACTAAAGTTGAAGCAATCGCGCCATATTGCAAGCTACAGCAGTCTAACAAGTCAACAGAAGTCTACAGATATTTTTTTTTTTTTTTTTACAAATTTCGTTTGCCTGCTGAGATCATGGTTACGTTTCGTAAAGAGCAGAGAGCTTTTTGTATTGAACATTACCTCTCCACAAACTCACCATTCCAGACATTTCGTGAGTTTTGCGTACGGCATGGAGAGAATGCTTTAGATGCCCTCAAGACCGTTTGTGTCTTGAGTAGAGAAGTTCCGTCAGTTTGGATCTATAGCGAAGCAGAAATAAAAATGTCTTTAAAAAATGACCACTTTAGGTCGACCACGCATCATGCGCAGCCCTTTAAACGTCACCAGAGTGCAGATTTCAGTTGTGAAGTCCCATGACACGTCTGTCTGTAGACGATCCTACACAACAGTCTGCATTCTCATGGCAGATCTTAACCTACGACTATACCATGTTCACCTTCGCTAGGCCGAGGTGACATAGATCAGAGCATGGCAATGTGTTCATGATTCCTTGATTGTCTTGTAAAGAGGGATCATTTCCTCGATGACATTTGGTTTTGTGCAAAGCCCATTTTCACCCTGCGGGATATGTTGACTCCAAAAATGCTGTCTAGAGGGCATCCCACTCCCTATTGTCTCTAGAAGCCACTTCATACTGAACATGTACAGTGTATGTGGCTTTAAACACTCATGGTTTAGCAGGTCCTTGTGTTTGGGCGCCATTGAACATTTCGAACGACGCATTAAAAATGTGTCGAGTCCAAAGGAGGGAATGTGGAGCACTGCTTCTAGGAATTTCAGAATGAAATCATTAGGTTTTTTAAACTCTGTAAAAGAAATCACATATTGTTTAAATGTCACAGGTATGGAAAATTAAATGCCAAAGAGAAAATAAAGAAAAAAGTCAACTAATCTTTTCACGACTTCCTTTACAAAATTTATAAAAATTGGTGAACTTTGCGTTTTTGGGTGCTTTTTTCTTTTAGCCGTTTCCATTTTCAAAACATGTATCTTCTTTGTGGATTCTATATCAAACAAATTCCTTTTGAATGAATTATGTCCATTTCAAATTACAGCTTTCCAGAACAATTTTTGCGGAAGATATTCAGAAAAAAAGTTGTAAATTTTTTTTTTTATCACCCTGTACTTTAAAAACTCTCTTTCCCAGCGGGTGGTTCAGTTTGAGGTCGCTGCCGGTAGGTCCTACTTCTTTACTCCATTGTTTCTGTCTGTCGGTCTTACTTTTCCAGTCTCAAAATGAGCAGTATGTAGGCTAAGTTACTGTAAATCACTGTAGTGATCCTGTGTATGCACTATGCAATCTAATATTATTACTATGCACACAAAGGGCAGCGTATAATATAGGGCCCAAATAAAGAAACTCTTTTAGCACTGTTCAACATTTTTTTTGAAAAAAATGCTCTCCCAAGTTATGTGTGCATGAAATGAACAGCTTAGGACAAGAATATTTGAACAACAGAATGTAAACATATAATAATTGCACCATGCTGAATAACAACAAAAGAAATCCCATTTCACTGTACAAAATAAGTTTAATGGAACATTCACATCATTCAGACAACTTGTCAAACAAACTGGCTTCTCAATTTCAACAAACATACCAGATACTACTACGCACTGCCACTTCTGGTCAAAACAGCCAACAGATGCAGATTCCCGTCTGAAGCTTATGTCAGTCGAAACTGACTCCCCAAGTATCACTGAATACTCATTGTCTATAATCATCATCATACAAAAAAAGAAATTGCTGGTATATGATTTCTTACTTAGTCTCATCAACTCAGTCTCTTCTTCAGAAATGGCAGTAGTTTTTTTTTCTTTTCCACTAGCTGTGCACCACACAATAGACACCTCTTTATCCAATGTACATCACGGAGGACTGCGTCTACGACAGAAACACTCCCCACAATTTATTGTCTATTATTAGATTTCCGAACTAACACATGTGCATCCTTATGTCCTGAGCTGGTACATGCCGGCTCTCAGTCTGTTGTAGTCTGTCAAAGCTTCCACTGGGCCTGGGGAGGGGAAGAAAAGAGAAAAACAAATATTTTAAAAGATTTGGGATTAAAAAAAAAAAAATCTAAAACTGAGTATAGAGCACAGGCGAGACATTTTCCTCTTGGGGAGAAAAAAAAAGAAAAAATTCCTCACTAGAAAAATGTAAGAAGAATTTATCTTGAAAAAATTTAGACTTTCTAGAAAACACGTAGCAATGTAAAACAGATGTTGAGTTACAGGCAACAACAAGCCAGTAGTAAAAAACAAAACAACCTAGTTGCTTATCACCAGTCACAGCCAGGTGGATGTGAAAGTATTCAGGGTTGGCCATTCATTTTCAAAGCTTATAACAACAAACACCTATGAACCCAATACATAAACAAAAGTGAAAATAGGAAGAGGGGAGAAAAGTAAACTTTTTAACTCAAATTATCCCAAAACCGACCAGAGTGAAGATAACAGGATGAGAGCGATAATGTCATACTTGAAACAAAAACTCCAGCACATTCTGTGTCTTCAGAACTTCAAGAAAGGTAATTGTACAATTTTAACACCTCTTTCAACACTGTACGGCTATACGACCTATGAATTGAACTGCAATTTGCAACAGGAATCAGTCAAGTTGGCGGGCAGCCTTGAAAACTACACAATTTCAAGCAAGTCCCATTGCGTACCGTATCTGACCCAAAGTCATCCTCACCATAACAGAGAATTTATACTACATGAGGTAACAGAGCACAGCACCTGTGTCTGGAATGGCTGCAGTCAAAATTTCTGTCATAAAAGAGAGCATTCCACTAACTGACTCCACCAACTTCAAGATTGCCCCATTGGGTATTTGAATATGGGTAATCTTCATCATAGCCTAGCAAAATACTGAGCTAAAATATGTGCCTGTTTCTGGAAAATTGGCCTTCCTGACTAATGTCACAGAAAACAAAAAGTCCACACACATCTGACAAGTACAAGAACATCTCACAGGGATTTTGAACTGTGTCATCTTCACCATAGTCGAGCAAGATAAGAACTTAGCTAATTGTTTGCTTTGGACATTTGTATTATCACAAAAGATAACAGTCCACTTACCGACTCCGACCACGGCTGGGCACTGGTCGTAGATGTACTTCATGCAAACCTCCTTCACAGTGTCAGCGCTGATGGCCTAGAGGAGGGGAAAAGCCAAGAGTCAGTCAAGATTAAGTCATGCATTCTACTTTGAAGAAAGATCTAAAGCATTTCAGTTAAATAAAGGAGAACTTATAATCCATCATAAAGCCTTTCCTTACTCTACATTATTCGATGATTTAAAGACCTTCCCATCAGCCTTTCTTTCACTTTCAGCCTTTTCTTTCTGTAATTTCTTCAATCTACAAAGTTTTTCCCCCCTAAATTTTGAATTCTCAATCCATCCATGACCAACATATCAAGTACTCTAAAAATTCTACATTTTACCAACTTTACATCCGTCAAACAAGAGCGAAAGTATAAAACCTGACTTGCTCTTAACAAGAAATAATTGGTCACTTTTAAGCACAAATGGGCTATCCCGATAAAAGCTGTTTTGACAAAATCGAAGTTAAAGTTTTTGGATCCTTATTCAGTCACATTAAAAGACAAGGAGAGTTTTCTCTATAACCAAACAAATATACACACCAAAGAAACCAAACTTCCCCTATAGGTAGGGCAATGCTTACTTTTGGTGTAGGTCAAGGTTTCTGGAAACCCAGAAATCTGGGTTAGCCCGCTTGTCCTTAAAAGCGACCAATTTTGGTAACATTATCAATATTCATTCAACTTACATTGATTCTTCTTTCCAATTCATCAATGGGTATTCTCCTTCCATAGCACAGCATTTGTCTGAAAAGAAAAAAAATAAAGTTAAGGTATAATTTCCAATATTTCTTGTCATTAAAAAATCTGAACATAAAACAAAGAAGTACCCCATTAAACTTTTTAAAAGACACAAGATGATAGTGTTATGGTAAAACCATTGACCGGAAAAATTGGGTCTCCTTTTCTTTCTAAAATTATTGCCAATGTCAACTGTGGGTCTTGAGAGTCAACATGCACCACATACATTGTATAAAAATACTGTGGGCTAACTTTCATGTCTACACACTCATAGTTGGACTTCAGCCTGCTGTAAAATTTTGAAGAAACCAGTTTCACACTAAGAACAATTCACCTTGGAAGAGGGAGACAAGGATGACACTGAAACCAATAAAATATATTAAGGTTCAAGTGGAATAAAGAGACGAAAAGTTTGGCAAAGAGGCCAGATTTGCACTCGCACAAAAGACAACAACAGATCTTGTTGGCTTGGAACTGTATGAGCATTTAATTGGCTTCTTGCACTGCATGCTTTCCAGGTCTGCTACGATAATAATAGTTGTAAAGCTCATAGAGCATGGATTTGTGCTATACATGTAATTATTAGCAGAGATGCCAACCACAGAAAACCGAAATGAGTATTGCGAAATATGAAAATGTGTATTTTCAGGGGAAAATGTGACCAACCAGTAATAGTAAAATGTTCAGGGTGTCCAGCAATATTTCCTGAAAAAAAATTACTAGCTCACCAGCGCGAAAAAAGGAGCACACACGCGTACAATATACATGTATCCAGTCAACAACATGTCAGTGCTCAAGGTCGTACTGGGGTCTTGTTTGACTTTAGAATTTCAGTCTATTATATAATATTTTCCTCTCATTATTATATAAAAAGTAAATCCTGCTTTGAGAGTTCGGAAGGGCCTAGAACAAGAATTTCGACTATCAAGAACCAGTCTGGGTGTCATGATTCATATTATGAACTGACAGACTCAAATTATTGCTAAAACTCAGAGAAAAGCAATAACTTGAATGGCTCAAGTTGACCCATGCACCGTGAGAGTTGTAACAACTGTGGTAGGGCAAGATGCAGTGACACTGAAAATCTGCCAGTCTTGAACAGTGGGTATAATTTACTATCACCCATCCAAGTAGGTATAATTACTATCACCCATCCAATGAAACGCAAACACTTTATTTCAATAACACAGACTTGCAAAGTATGAGGGGTCCCGATTCCGCACACGGCCTGCACCAACGCGCACTTTGCACAAAACTAATCAAAATTCTTTTGTCCTCTGGTGTTGCCTTAACCCCCCCCCCGATAGTATCATAAACCCCCCAAAAATCAATTATCTCCTTCTCTATGCCGTAGTCATATACTTCGCAATGCCGTTACTCCCACCAAAGACGGTCTTTGCTCACCCGATGCCGTTATTTATGATGCGAACGCGCGCAGGTTCAGTGACCGGTCACGATGGCGAGCCAGACAATCTAAAAATCGGACGACGCTTGTATTTTTTTTTTTCTTTTTCCCACAAGTGACAGCACAGCGACGAGTCCGAGTATTTCTTACATTTCATTTGCACGGCGACATTGCATTTATACTGCACAACCTGCATGCCACAAATGTTGCGTTATCAGACAACTGCTGGCAAACTTCTCGGCGGTAATGAAAGCGAAAGTAGATCTTGATTTTCCCGATCAAGCCTCGGTGTCACATACGCTTCCGCCTGCCGCCATAGCTGCCTATTCGCGTGAAAGTGAAACGTACTCTCCGGACGGGGAAAAGCTGAACGAAACGATCGCGACCGGCAAAAATTAACTTACTGACCACATCGGACTTGGTTTTCAAATACTCCAGTTCTGCGATACTGATACTATTTTGACAAAAGATGGGACTTGAGATAATTAGGTTTACTCGCCCAAGCTGAATCTCGTATTTTTCGCATTCCAGGATGCGTATGTTTTCATGAAAAGTCGTATTCACGTATTTTCGGCAAAAAATTGTACTACAATACGTAAAATCGTACTGGTTGGCATCTCTGTATTAGTATAACAGAACAGAAACTCTATACAATCAGCAAACCCCTTTTTCCCACTTACCTTCCAATGTCCTCACAGATGGGGGTGGAGCCGTCCAACTGCAGAAGCATGTTTGTCATGAGCAGGTTCTTTGCCCTCTCCACTTCGGACTCGCGCACACCGCCACACAGACGCATCCTGTGTGAGCGGAGTCCAATACAGTTGTAGATTATGGTTAAATATCACACATGACAAAAAATTTGCACAGTCTTTTGGGTTTTTTTTGTTTTTTTTAAAATTCAGTAAAGAAAAGAGCACAGACAAGACAAACATTTAATGCTGGAAAAGAGACAGGCAGATAAAAAAAAAAAGCAATAGAGGGAAAGCAAAGAAAAGCAACTCTCAGTACAGCACTGAACCATCATCCTCATTTTTCCACAAATATAATTTTTCTCAACTGCGAAACTTAACACAACTGGAAGATGATTAAGAAAATAGATCATGAAATCAATAGACGACAGAAATTTAAAAAAAAAGAATGCCAAAGACTCCATTCAAACTATTAACAAGTTGGTAAAGAATAACTGAAAGCAGAAGTTATTTAGACTTTAAAAGAGCGTCAGCCTCCTTTAAAATTAAAATATCCAACATATCCTCCCATTAGAAGTGTTGTATTGACATCAAAACTTAAGTCTTTTGCTTGTAACTAAATGACATACCATTCTGTTTGCACATTGAAGACCATCTCATCTACCATCATTCTGTCACAGACAAAGTAGATGCCCCTGGGGAACATAATTGAGAAATATGAGACACTTTAGGCAAACAAGGGGAATACATAGCACACATGTTAAGGAGGAAGGAAATGTAAAATAAAAATAATAAAAACACCCCACTATGCTGAGAGAAAGCTTTGGGACATAAAAAAATCTCTCGTAAGTGTTTATTCCACAAATACATGAATAACAAACTAAATCTGAACAACATTAACAGTATGATGAATACTGATAATTTTGCATTTGTCTGCCCAAACAATTCTTATTGTCAGCACAGAGCCAACATATGGTCAGGGGAAAAAGCTCCAAAACTATTAGAAGGAAAACCCCACATCTCGCTCAGAACACCCCCCAACCCCCCAAAATACAACATACCTATTAGAGAATGCATCTCTCCCTTCCCTTCAAATTATCGTCTGTAACACATACTCAGGCTATACAAGAAAAGAGATGAAATTACCCTGGCTACTTACCACAATCCAGTGTCGGTGTAGCAGGTATTGAATGACTGGAAGCTGTTTGCCAGGTTGAACTTGACAGCGTTCTGGGCCAGCTCACTGGCCAGGTTGGTGCCACCACCGTGCGAGCGGTCCCAGCTGCCGATGATCGTGTTGGCCACCATCAGCGCCAGGTTGTCTGGGTTCTGCCAGCCACAGCCCTCCACAGCCATGGCAACATGAGCCAAAGGCATCAGGTCATCACGAATCCTCAGCTGCACATAGAATTATTCATTTTGCTTTACAAAGAAGTTAACTCAGTTGACAATGATCATTCAATGCCAGGAACAAAATTAAGATTAAAAGTAAAAGAAGAGGGCAAAAACAAAAAAATGACACGAAAAACTATGACCCTTTAGTAGCTTAATTCAACAACATGGCAACTTAATTCTTCAAAAAGAAAAAGAAGACGATCCATAAGAGTTGTATGTCATTCAACAACCATATAAGTACAAAATGTACTCAATCATTTTGCTTTAAGCCACAGCTTTGATAAGTAAGTGACAGTTTAGACAAATAGCAGGTTGAACCATCATCTTTTAGAGAGGAGATTTTTTCTGCATAGATCTACCAGATTTGATGGAGCCCAAATATTTTAAATCATCAGCACCAACAGTCACCCCTGATTTTGATTAAACAGCTGACACTTATTTTTATACTTTAAGTTGTATCAAAAGATTTGGCTGAAGACTGGCAGAGACCAAAGACAAATATCCAAAACTGGACAGCTCCTTGCAAGAGATGGTACAAATAATGCTCCAACACATTACCTAAAGGTAATTCAATCATAATCATGATCTCAGATCATAAAAGAGCAATTTTACACTTGCCATCTATACCAACCTAGAAAGCATAGAGAGAGTGAAACCATCACATAGTACAATTCCTGGAAACCTACCTCACTGCCAGTGAACCTGCACTGGGGCAACACAGGGATCTCTCCCTCATAGCCTGCAGTCATCCCACCAAAGTACTGCTCTGCAAGTTTGCACAGCTCCTCGTGGTTCACACCTGGGAATAAACACCATCAATATCAACAAATCATACAAAAACATTGCTCTTGATGAAATAGTAACCATACTTTTTTATAGTGCCATCTCAAAGACGAATAACATGTGATAACCTTGGCAAAGCTGTTGGTGTAGCCAAACAATGCAAACGCGCACTAACGCGACTCTTGAAGTGCCAAATTAAAGACTATAAAATAAAAGTTGACATTTCACAAACTTTTAGACTATTAAGATTCTAAATTTGGGAAGCAGCAGTATGAAAATCTATGGCAAACTTGTATCTTTAAAAAAAAAAAATGAGGTTTTGGTTTGCACTGACATAGAATGAAGCAATCAAGTTACTGCTTTAAAAAAAAGGAGAAAATCCAGATAACAATTATTACATACAGATGACTAGGATGACATCTATATATACCAAACCTCACCATTGCATACACCTCACAATTTTAAAGAACTCTTATGGCAAGAAGTCATAACAGTCATTAAGTATGAGCAAGACCTACCTCCCCCAGCAGCCAGCACAATGCGAGGTCCCTTGTAGTGGGTGTTGATGTACTCAACAAGGTCATTGCGGCTGATGGACCTGAAAATGAACACATAAGAAAGTTAGACAGTGTGCCATTTCCTATTATTACACATTGTAACCAACATCTGATAAAGGCCAACAGACAAAGCCAGAACATTTTCTTTACACAAAGTAGGATATCTCCATGATGACAATCACGCAAGAACAACTTTTAGCAAAGCCAAAAAAGTTTGAAAAGCTAAACCGTATAACACAGACGACTTTAAATCACGTGTCCGTTGAACTGTGCCGGCAGTCCCGTATTTTCCCCTTCATCTTTGTAAGATATCCCTTGAACTACAGAGGCCGGTCCCGACGAAATCGAGCTATCTGTGTTATACTGTACATCTCTGAAAGGGTTTTTATATTTATGTCTCTACGATCTTGTTCTGACCAAGGGGTACATGAGTGCATTTTAACAAAAACTTCAAAGAACAACTTTCCCCAATCATCTTCTTAAAAAACCCCCACACCAACTGATAATTCCCACACTATACAAATCAATCTAAAAAAGGACGTCACAACATGTAGAGTTATCGATCCAGTTCATATGTAGAGAAATGTGAACTTACTGGATGTTCTCAGTGGGTCCCAGGATGGTCTGGCCCAGTGCGGTTCCCTGGTATGCTATGGCGTGGAGATGATCAAACACAACCTCCTGAAGGTTAGTCTCAATTTCCTGTGGAGAAGAGTCATTTTTTATGTTACATGTTATCAAACCAAATCCAGTGGAACCTGTATAAAATAGGTGGAGAACAAGAAAAAAAATAAAGACTTTGATTTTGTGATTGTTAAAATTCTTCCTCAAAGTAACTGTCTTGAGTTGAAAAATGTGTGTGTGTGTGTGTGTGTGTGTGTGTGTGTGTGTGTGAGTGTGTGCATACTAAGCGTTTGATTTGAATGAAATATCCCTCAGAAAGGTATGTAGAATGAGTGCCAACCTACAACTTTTCATCAGTGTGCATGAGGAAATCTGATTTTAAAATAAACAGAAAATTTTGTTTTTATAAATAACAAACTCTTATAAAAAGACAAACCAGCATAAATGTGAGCAGTGGTTGAAGATACCAATAGTGAACATACAAAAGGTGTTTCTGAAATCTTAGGCTACATTCCACTTACTTGCATTTCCCGGAGAATTACACCCCTCTCTCTCTCAATCTCCTGGTCACCCAACAGACTGTTCTGGGTGATGTCTGCAAGAATCTCAACAGCTGCAAAGAAAACAGAAAATCAATGTACAATACATGAATATGCATGAATATGCAAAGCTCAGCGACAACACAATTTACAACATTCTTCAAACAACCCCTGCAAACATCCAGTTGACGTATGCAAAATTTACTTATCAGAAGCAAGAACTTCCTCAAAAACCTTTGAGAACTGCTCTTCTTCAACTACTCTAAAAGTCTAAATCATGTATGCTTTGTTTGAATTTTCAAACACATTCTTAAATACATTTACCATGTCAGTAACTTCTCCATTCTCTTTTCAACAGCACTGAAATGTTTAATTTGAAGTCTGAAATCCTTTCTCAACCAATGAACACACCAGAAATATGAAGGAAGTAATAAACAAAAGTCATTGTTAATCTTACATCACAAGTCTAACCACCTTTACAAACAGAAAGAATAAGCTGCTGAACAGAGGAAAACATTAGTGTAAAAAGTTTTTCAAAGAAGAACTTCACAATATGCCTGTGAGCTTAACCCCAACCACTAAAAGGGTTAATTACTAAATGACATACTAAAAAATAAAGTGCTGAGTCATATTTTAAATTCTAAAGGTCAACTCTGACAATCCTCTTTTCACCAACACAACAGTATCCATTTCATTGCCTGACAGCCATCCTCCTTCCCATACCATGACTGAAAATCAGCACCATCAATTTACACACCCACCTTTTGGCAAGTCCTTCTGGAAACACTTGGCGTAGTAAACAGTTTGCTCCCTGGATGTATAAGCGTTCAAATGAGCACCCATATTTTCAATCTCCAACTCCAAGTCAGTCTGACTTCGCTTCTTGGTACCCTTTGAATTGCAATAACAATACCAATAAAAATAAGCCAAGGCAACTACGAGAACTCTTTTCAGGTAAAAGTCAATATCTATCCCTCTAAAATTTAAAACAAAAACACAGAAGAATAGAATGTGACCTCTGGTAGTTCGGCAGAAAAAGTAGTACAGACTCTTCTATTCCTTATCACAGAGCCTTTTAACAACGAATGTGGTGCAAGTGCCAATTTGTAGACACTTCAGAAAAAAATTTCAAAGTGAATGTTCTCTAAAACTGTTGAATTTGAAGAAGAAGTAAATGCAATACTGTGCCTAAACCATTAAGATCACACTGTCAAAGAAGCAGTCATTTAAATGAATACAATTTGGGAGTTGTTACCTTGAAAGCCATGTGCTCAAGGAAGTGAGCCACGCCATTGTTGGAGGGATCTTCGTACCTGCTTCCAGCATCAATCCAAAGTCCAACCTATAGGAAGTAGACAAATAACTCAAGATCAACATGTCTTTATGAACTTTGTGCCTCTACAGATATTTTGAACAGTAACAGTACTGTCTACAAGCGTCAATAATCCTTCTTTCTAAATAAATTTTTTTAAAAATAAAATTTTTAAATGCTGGCATAAAAGTTCCAGTCATTTATCTGTGTGGGGGAACTATCATGAAAAAAAAAGAAGAAAAAAAAAAGAAGAAAATAATGGAAAAAAATTCCAACAAATTACATTAAAAAAGTGCAGATATGTAGAGTCACTTCAGCAGTAAAGTAAATCACTTCTATACCGCCCAACAAAAACATCAATATCTTGTTTTGACAACAAATGGGATGGGAAGAGCAAACATTCATTCATGCGAACAAATTCAGAAAGTCATTAACTGTGAAAATATGTCAAGAGCCAAATCAAATTACGAACATAAACTAGAACTTGATAAATTGGACAATCATCGGAGCTGATTACAACCCACAATAAATTTTCACCATAAATTAGAATAAAAAACTCTTTTGACATATTACAAAGAAAATGTAATTTACTAACACTTGTGAGCAAAATAGATCAGTCATCCACAACTGACACATATTATGCGCAAGACAAAATAAAAGCCTTTCCAGGAACCTTTTGATTCAGATAATTCTTAGAGCAGACTATAAACAACATTTGGGAAAAAAAAACGTAAGCAGGTTCTCACCGTGCTAGTGATGATACCAGAGTCCTCAGTGGCAACTCTGACGCCATTACTCAGGGTAGTCACACGAGTTTCCGGCATGTTCAGCACAGCCTGCTCGTATGAGACAGCCTTGGCAGACCTCCATCTTCGGTTGTACAGTGCAGCTGCAAATGGAGTCTGAAAGAGAATTAAAGCAATGTTTTGCGGTTCTTTGCTCTGTCCACAGCAAACATAAGAATTTCAACTGATTTCTACCATCATGATGTTCAGAAAACTTAAGTCATGCTCTTCCATTTTTTAAGAAACTGTACAGGTGCAGTGACACTATAAAAAATATTGAGTAAGATTTTTTATGCACTTTTGACGAAACTTCGGACAAATATCCCAGGAAGCAGAACACAAATTCTGACAGCTTGCATGAGTCTGAAAAAAAAATTGACATAATTTCAAGGGTTCAATTTCCTTTTCAATTGTTAAGTTGTAGCTTAGATTACAAGTTTAGACCTTTATGAAGCACTGCATTTTGTAAAGGTCTAAATAAAAAATAAAAAACAATTTAAGGGGGGGGGGGGGGGGTGTGAGTAGCTCAACAGGCATGGTGTTCACCTGTCAATTCAGTCAGATCCCCACCAGAGATGTTTTCTCCCCATTTTCTACATCTCCTGATCCTATGGCTGGCAGCATCCAGCACCCCATTTTCTCGAATAAGGAAAAAAAAATTTGGAGGACCCGTATATATATAAAAGTTTTGAAAGTAAAAAATTCCTGGCTGGTTCTAAAATAAAAAAGACTGGGCCTTTCAAGACGCAGCCCAGACAAAATTCAAACTAAACTCCTTTCCAAAACTGAAGTCACTCTCAGTATCCAGCAGTGCTTCCACCAGTTGAAGCTGAAAAGTAAGGAAAATTCTGCCGGGGGTCTGGGGGCCGCACAGGCCCCCAGCAGGATCGAGTACAGTACTTTCAGAGGGTTGAAAATGGCATTTGGGAGCCTGTTTGAAGAGAATGCCAACAACCCATACTACCCATTTTTTCACCAAGATTTTGTCTTGTTTGATTTCTTTACCAACATATCTTTCCTCCGCTGGCAATGTTTAAAAGCAGGTTCCCCTTCCATAGCTACTATAATTCAATTAATTTGTCATTGCACCATTGATAACGCATGTCACAACCTCCGAATACCACTTTTAATTATTCTTGATTTTAGTAAGTTTTAGCACAAATTTCTTTCATCGCGGCCCTTATCGCGTTCCTGTGCCGTAGAATCTTCGCACTGATAAAGAGTCAATTTACTTGATTTTCCAGCCGCGGGAACAATCCGAAGACAGACGGAATGAGGGAATGATAGGAGGAGGAAAGTGGCACAAAAAGTTCGCCAGATTTGGATAAATCTGCAGGTAAAAAAATGTACTGCCGACCAACCCGCAATGAATGCATGGGGCATAGCGGAATAATGGCCGATGGCAGGAAATGCGCAATCTGGCAGGTTTCTATAACATTTAATAAACTATTGCCGAGATAATTACCGTAAAAATATCCGTATAAAAGACAATATGAAGGCGAGTACGGATCGTTTGCTACAAAATTTCGGTAGTCCTTCGCTGTCGCAGATTTTTACGGAGGGAGTTGATTATAATGGAGGAACAAGTACAGAACTAGCAGAAAGTACGAATTTCCATAAAAATACGAAAGAGTGGAAGCACGGAGTATCAATTTTAAGAATCTAATGGCTAGTGGCTTCCTGTCAGGCAAGAGATGGCTTTTACATTCTCTATCTTTAGATAAAACTGCTATCACGTACACCTTATTTTATAACAGAAAAACAAAACACTCGACACTCTGATAAGATCTAAGATCCGTTGCACATTCTACAGTCCATAAAAAGCACTGCGCGATCTACAGATCTAATACAGAATGCGCAACAATCAATGGATTGTTGCGCATTTCCATAGATCCACAAAATGCATTGTGAGATCCACCGATCACGCAAAACAAATTACAAATACAGTGGAAACTGTGTAAGATGGAATAGCAAGGGAACCAAAAAATTTTCGTCTTAAGGGGATTTGGGGGTGGGGGGGGTAAGGCCCAGACGGTGGGATCAAGGATCTAGTACTACTAGCAAATACTACATACCCCAGTTGACAGAACAAGGCCATGAGAGAAAGGTAGAGTGGGAAAGTAGGTGGGGGAGAAAGAGAGAGAGACAAACAAAGAGAAAAGGCGAGCGATACGCAGGGAGAGAGAGAGAGAGAGAGAGAGAGAGAGAGAGAGAGAGAGAGAGAGAAATAAAGAAAGAGAGAAGCAGAGAACGAGGGGAGAGAGACAGAGAAATAGAGAGTCAGAGGGTGACTGCTCTGCTCGTTTCAAATTATGACATTGTTCTTTGACCTCTATTCTCACCCGGAGTGAGAATAGTGCAGGCGAGTCTGGTGGCTATTCTCACCCAGTGCGCGCTCACCAAATTTTGCGTCAACCCTAAACCACAGAATTCTACACTGTGGTATAACAGAAAAATTGTAGAATTCTGTGCCGTGAACAAACGTTCCATTACAACTGTAGCCTACTAAAAGCGTACAATTTTGTCTGTGGGCAGTGGAGAGAGAGAGAGAAAGAGAGAGAGGAGTAGCGCGAGAATTTCCGGGCAAAACAAAATGGCGACCCACGTAGTTCGGCTCGATTTGAAAAGTTAAATAGCCGTAGCATCTTTGTAGACAACCAAATTAATTTACTTTTACTTTTGTGTTTTAACATCATTTTTTAACTTTGTTTTGGTCAATTTGATCGTCCACACCGATAGACAGTATTCAGAAAGAGACAGAGAGAGAGAGAAGAGGGGAGGAGTTGATCTTGCGAGAACTTCCGGGCGGGTGAGAATAGCCACTTTCTTGTTCTTTTCTTCAAAAGGAGTGTCTATGTACACAGTAACCCGGCATCTAGCAGTATCTACGTACACGGTAAAGGGCACTATCGTGATTACTGAAAAACCCTGTGAGAAACGTCAGTCGGTAGTTGACAGCCGAAGAGTGAGGACGTAGAAAACTGAGTAGGAGAGTGAGTAGGTGAGTCAGTCGGCTGAGTAGGGGAGCTCGAAAAGGAAGAATAGCGGACCACTAGGCACCAGTCACCAGGGGCGCCATAGTGAAAGTAGTTCCGACCGGCCGTTACTGGTGGTCTGGTAAAGTACAATCCTACCAAGTCTTCCCAAATGGACCAACTGCCTCTAGCTTTTTAATTTGTAAACGGTGACTGCTTGTTGACAAGTTGTTTGCTGGGATTGTCACTGATTGTGATGGTAGAAAGTTTGCATTTCTATGATCATATTTTCTTCTCAAAATCAGAAGCATATTACTGTCACTACTGTTTTGTGGGAACAAAACATATTAATGTAAAAGTATGTCCATTCAATTTTATATTGTGTGATAAACTTACTTTAGAGGATGAATTTAGAATCCTCGCAACACCACCAGTGACCTTCAGCAGTGAAGAAGCCATCTTTCCGAAAGAGACATGAAAAATGCATGCGCTACCGGAAGTAGATCCAAGTGATTATAAAATCACCTCGCGCAGACCAGATCTTTACGAAACAAGATGGTTATGGTTTTGTTATGGGTTATACAACAGTTTGTTCAAACAACAGCCATTACACATTGGAAGGGAATGGGTCGAGAGATAGTAAGTTTTTACCGACAGCTTGAGGCAGCAAAACGTTTTCTTCTTCACAATGGATAAATAAGGTATATTTTTGTATGGATCTCCATATCTTTTCATTTTAAAAATCTTTCATCGCTATTTTATCGATCTCCGCTACTTGCTATATAGTCCAACTTTAGAAGTTACACAGACATAGTTGCCTTATAAATTGAGTTAGAGGTCTATCATCCGCTCGTTTTCTATTAATTTTTGGTTCACTTGCAAAGTTGTTTCATTATGTTTGCAAATAAAAAATCGTTAAATAGATAGCACCTCTTTTGCACAATTTAAAAGAAAAAGACTATTGAACATCTTTTTAGGTCATGCGATTGTAATTGTTATTGTTGCACCTCGCTGACTGAACCATTCTCATTCTTCACAATCACTCACAAAGAACAAGGCATGATCAACAATCACTCATAAAGAACAAGGAATGATCATAAAAAGCAGTTATATCAACCTCTGATACTTCTCTACAAGTACAAGACTTGCCAACAGCAAAAAATGATCTTTGAATGTTCTTTATATATGTCGTTGACCAGCTGTTAAAATTTCACAAGCTGTAAAAACAAACTTTTTCAGGAGAGAGAAAACCCCCCCACTTGTTTCATTCATTCTTTACAAAGATTATACATATGTATACTTCAAAACATAATAAAAGGCTAGGAGGTAATGGCATTATCTGTAGTTGAGGTATAAATCATTGGAATGCCTAAATCATTCCATGAAAAGTCAGAAAAGATGTTTTTGTACTGAGATAATTTTAGCTGTGCACATTATTATTTTCACATCAAAACCGTGGGTTGCTAAAGGACTAATCAGCATACAACTTACCACAGCTTTCATATATTATTTAAAGAATGACTCATCACTTGTCGGATTTAATAACATCAATGAACTTTTAATAATTCAACGGGGTTACAAGTGATGACGACATCAACTGAAATGAAATGGAAAACACAAGACGGTGATGTAGAATGAAATGAAATGATGAGTGATCGCACTGACAAATGAATCTAGATCTGCATGCATGAGTCCCCGAGGGGAGCAGAGTGATGATGATGATGATAGGGCATGAACTGATGAATAACACTAATAATACAGCTACATCCCCCCCCCCCCAAGTTCATGGCCTCTCAAGAGGCTTTCTTCGCCGCTGAGGGGTCACAGTCTCTTTGAGTCCTGGCTTATTGTGTGGCATGAGATGTTGCAAGGCCCTGTGGGTTCTGGAAGGGGCTGCTTCTTGCCCGGTGGGGGTAGTCACTTCTGGCACGACAGGGGTGGTCGGTGCTTCTGACATGGTAGAAGAAGACGATGAGGGATCTGGAATAACGGTTTCAGGAAAGGGTGCGGAAGGGGGGCATGGGGTGCCCTCTTGTGTCACATCGGATGCAACGTGAGTGGCGATGGGGCTGGGGGGGTGGGATATATGGAGAGGGATCTGGTGCCGTCTGTTGAATGGTGGGTGAGGCCTAGGAGGGGCTCGTTCGGTTGCAGTTGTTGCCGGTTTGAAGGCTCTGAGAAAGCGTCTGTTGCGTCTTGTGACGCGTCCAGAGCCATCAATCTTGACAATGTACTGGTTGTGGTCCAGCACTTCCGTCACCAGCCCTGTGCGGTCCCATTTTTTAGGCGCATTCCCAGTTTGGTTTTGCTCGAAGCATCTGTCACCTGGGGACAGGGGTGGGAGAGCTTTAACATGCTCATTCAATGTCTCTGCCGTCCTGGTGTAACGTGTTCGGAGAGCAGCCTCTTTTAATGCCCAGGCCTCTCGCCATAGGGGATTGATGGACGGATTAGAGAACTTTTCCAATCTGTTAGTGAAGGAAAAGACATCACGGATGGGGCATCCGAAGATGATCTGGGCTGGTGACACATTGCAGTCGGGATTGGGAGTATTGCGCAGCTGAAGCATGGCATGGAGTTGGCGGTCGTTGTTCAATGTCCCTGTTGGGCCCACATTACATCGGAGAAGCCTCTTGGCACTCTTCACAGCAACCTCGGCACAGCCATTAGATTGGGGATGGTACGCGGAGGACAGGCGATGCCTCACTCCCCAATGCTGAAGGAATTCACCGGTAGCGCTTGCTGTGAACTCAGGGCCCCTGTCACTGGAGAGCTCCTCAGGGACGCCGAAGGAGGTGAAGAACGATCTGAGACATGCTATCAGGCCTCGGGCCCCTGAGTGAGGGCTTCCTGAGGGTGTAGAAAATATTTCTGACCATCCGGAAAGACGGTCACCAACAATGAGGTTGTGGTGGCCACTGAACTCGAAGAAGTCAGTGAAGATTTTTTCGAAAGGGGTGCATGGCGGGAATGCTGGTTCAGTCGGCAGTGGAGCCTGGGATGGAGCATTCCGATTGCACTCACGACATTTTGTCCTTGTGGATTGGATGTCGTTGGTGATACCCGGCCAGAAGACGATGGCTTGGGCCCGTAGTTCCATTGCTGATACGCCCTGATGTGCTGAATGCAGTCCCTCAAGGATCGACGGTCGAAGGGACGATGGCACCACCACACGGACACCATCTAGGATGTACAGGGAGTCCTTGTATCTCATCAAGGATGAGATTGATGGGTTGTCGTCTACAAATCCCTCCGATATTGCTGTCATCACTTGGGACAGGACAGAGTTCGCTTTTGTCTCCTGTGTCAGCCGAGACCAGGGGATGGAGGTTAGCTCCTCTGCGTTCTGACATATGGATGCAATTAATAAGGATTCAGAGCAGTCCTCGGGTGATGCCTCTGTATATGCGCAGGGATGACAAGAAGTGGTGTCTGCTGCAGAGTTTGTTTTTCCCGGTAAGTGGGCGATGCGAAAATACCAAGGCAGCGTGCGCTGCTTCTGGCGGAAGAGGCGGGAGTTTGAGATCTCATCAAGGGTGCGATCTCTGAAGATCTTTGAGAGCGGCTTATGGTCCGTGATCACGATGAGGTTGGGGCAGCCTTGGGTGAAGTACCGTGTCTGCTCTAGGCCCCAGGCAATCGCTAACGCCTCGCCTTCAATGGGTGGTTAGCGCTGTTCAGCGCCGTTAAGGAAGCGGGTTCCTGCCAGTGTGATCTTCCGGCCATCTTGGCAACAGTCTGGCATACCAGTGGTGCAAGAACAATGCTCCTGGAGGAGGAAATAGACAATTTCTCGTGAAGACCAATCTGGGCGGAGGCAAGTAGGTTTGGAGGTGTCGAATATCTCGACGCCCAGGCGGATTGCATCTACGATGGCTTGCTTGGAATCACTGAAGGCCTGGTCCAACACAGGAGTCCAGAAGAACTTGTACTTTGGGCTCAGAAAGGGTCGAAAGGGAGCTATGACGTCTCGTAGTTGAGCATAGTTAGCCACTTGGTTCACAAGGCCAAACCAGCTACGGATGTCAGTGGTATTCTTTGGGGTGGGGAAGGATTGAATGGCTTCCAAGTATTTTGGGAGGGGCTTTATAGTGTGTTCTGAGACATGGAACCCTGCAAATTCGACATCTCGTCGAGCAAACTGAAATTTGTCTGGATTCAGAACAATACCTGCTCTGCCCACCAGTATCAGAAAGTCGATGGTCCTCCACCAATGCTCCTCCAGATCTTCGTCATAGTGAATAGTATCGTCAACGCACCTCTCCTTTCGCTCGAAATCAGCCAATATCTGGTCAAAGCGGCAATTGTACCCGTCACCTGACGACAGGTAGCCCTGAGGGGCACGGGTATACCGCCACCGGCCTAAAGGTGTAATAAAGGTGGTCAAGTGGCGGTCAGATTCTGTCAATGGAACACTGTGGTACCCATTCCATGCATCTGTAACTGTCTTCCATGTGTTCCCTGGCACACGTCGAGCTAGGAGGAACAAGGCCTCAGCGGCAAAGGTCTTCCGTTTACAGAATTTGTTGAGTGGAGAGAGGTCCACTGTACGCCTCGGGGACCCATCATGTTTCCTGGTAACAACCATGCCATGACACCAAGTCACTGGTTCACCGTAGGGGACCCTCTCAATGACGCCCAGGACCTCATCACGTAGGAGGTCCTCATACACACGCCTTTGCCAGTGCATTGGGACTGGTGCTGCAGTGTTACATGTGCGTGGGGTGGCTGAATCATCTATATGGATCTCAATGGGGGGACCTGTCATGCAGGTAAGGGGACGATGGGAGCAGGTATTAAATGTGGAGTTTGCATACATCTTCAATAACCATTCCCGCATTTTCTCGTTGTTGTCCACGGTGGGAGCGAATGGGAGCTATGGGGGATGATCGGGAATGGATGACCTCTGGGGGCAGCTGCAGGAAGGTGAACCTTCCGTGACCTGCTGATCTGTGCAGCCAGCGTTGAGGGACCTAGCATGGCTGACTTTTTTGCTGTACTGGTTCTGACCACTGGAAATGGGGCTGTCCCAGAAGTCCATGGCACTGTCGCTATCGTAGCCTCCGATTGTTGGGAAGTGTTATCAATGATCCCAAGGTCTATCATAGTGTCATATGACAGGAAGAAGCTTGAGACCGAATCGCTGACGTACACCATTGACTGGCAGGTAACTCTTTGTCCAGATGTGGATTGCCCTGAAAAGTGCCCAGGGAACGCACCAATGATGTTAATTGGGTTTTTGTTGGCGGCCCTGATATCCATGCGGACAGTGTGAAGATCCTTGACTTGACAGCAAAGCCCGCTCTCTGGAAGTCCTGCAGACCCCACAGGTTGGACTGGGCCCCGGTGTCTGCTAGCCCTACCACTGTGGAAGTCTGGATGGGTTTACGCTGATGGATCCCAAGTTCAAACTGTACTGTAGGGTGTTTTGAGAACTGGGCCCGCCGCCACTCGCCCTTGGTGAAGATCTTGTGTTGCAGGGTGACGGCCGACACCTGGGAGATCTGATCACCCATAGAGACCAAAGTGTTCGATCCAGTAGGTTTCTCCCGGGGCTGTGCAGGGCGGCGGCGCTTCCCACGCCAGTAGTCTAGGCATAGTTTGTGGGGCTTCGTGTTCCACACGCCACTCTTCTGTTTGTAGGGGCGGAACTTCTGTTCGCAGTCAGGGCATGGGATGGTCTGTGTCCGCTCATCTGTTGCTGGTGCCTGGGCCATGCTCTTCTTGAAGCTAGACATTGCAGAGAACGTGGGCAGTGGGGTGGCATTGCGGGCCATCTCTCGGCTTTCAACGAAGGCGATGAAATCATTCACCGACTTGGACTGGATGCCATCTGCACTGAGGGCTTCTCGATGAATATCAATGTTGGCAATTCCTGCCAGTAAGACGTCTCGGGAGGCGTCCTCTGTGTAGTCAGCATAGACGGACTTGCTACACTGGCACTGAGTGAAGACTGTGAATGCACAGGTCTCCGCTTTGCCCCTCACCCTTGCAGCAAACGTACGGAAGTTTTCGTCCGGGCTTTGCTTCATCTGCATTAGCTCAGCTCGTAGAACTCCTTTGGCTGTAGGAATGACAGCGAGCTTCCGCATCGCCTCCAGGACTTCGTTGAGACTGCGAGAGGTGATACCGGGGTCTGCTTTGAGCAGTAGGTCACCCAGAGTTTCGCTGGCACATTGGAAGAGTTGGGTTGGGGCGGAAGAGTCGCTGATGGCAGATCCATTCCTGAAGGCTTCCCATCTCCGGCCAAAGGCATTCCACGTTTCTTGGTTGACGCCAATATCAATCCTTGGCCTCTCGAGTTTCGGCCCTCTTGAGGAAGCTGCAGTTTGATTTTGATGGGAGAAAGCATGTATGTTCAGTAATGCAGAGACCACGGCAGGGTCCTCGTCCGGCGTTGTATACATGCTGCCAGGCGCAGGGCAAGAGACAATGACCATTGTGGAGGGTAAGGCATGGTTTGTGGAGTCGGCGACAAGCGTACCTCGGCACTCAGTATTTCGGCGGTGGCGAAACGACGGACGGCGGATATACGTGCAGGAGAATGGCGGATTCAGGTATAAACGGAAAGGCTAACGAAGTTGATTTGATGTTGTCATAAAGAATGACTCATCACTTGTCGGATAACATCAATGAACTTTTAATAATTCAACCGGGTTACAAGTGATGACGACATCAACTGAAATGAAATGGAAAACACAAGACGGTGATGTAGAATGGAATGAAATGATGAGTGATCGCACTGACAAATGAATCTAGATCTGCATGCATGAGTCCCCGAGGGGAGCAGAGTGATGATGATGATGATAGGGCATGAACTGATGAATAACACTAATAATACAGCTACATTATTCAATAGTTATTACACCTTTAAAGGATTGAACATAAAAGATAATATATTACACTGTCAGACAAGAAACAAGAAAGGTTCTAGTAGAGATTGTTTTACCACTTTAATTATTACAGATAATCAAGCTGCACTCTTGACAATTTTTAGTACGTTCCCACTCCTTAAAAAGTAGCCAAATGACTATACATTCTAGTTAATACTGCTCCGAAATGTTATTGGAAATATAGTTAATGTGTATAAAATCATGTGCGTTATAATACTTTGAAAAGTAATTGTAAAGCATGCTGACAAAATGAGTTATTTCTCGGGTTCAAGCCTTTTTTATGGAAATAAATACATCAAGCTTATAGATGAAGTTTTTACAATTTATAAGTATGAAATAATAAAAGAAAAGTTATAGTTAAAGATTAATGGCATCAATAGAAAATCTACAAATTTGTCCCTAATATAATGGTATTTTTTGGCCAACATCTCCTTTTGTGGATTGCGAGAGGTAATTCATCTTGCCAGCATGACTTCACAAGTGTCTCATTTATCCTCTCCAATGGTATTCATCACACACACACACACACACACGCGCGCGCACAAACACACACACACACATTTACACACGCACACACATAAACACACACACAAAAACGCACACACACACACACACACACACACACACATGCTCACAATCAAATATTATTTCAAAATACGTTTACAAATCAATGCTCTTATTAAGGTGGGTCTCAGCTGGAAATAACCTACTGATTTCATGTTCTGTAAATGTTGGTACCGTCGGACCTGTGTAAGCCAGCCACGCATTGTCGAGGAAAAAAGAGGCCATATAAGACGGGTGGTTGTCATACACAGGACTGATCAAAATGAAGAAAACAAACCGTTTACTTCTGAAGTTGCAACTGGGGGTGGTCGCAGGCTTTGGACTACCCTAGGGCTGATAAAAATTTGTTGTTGTGGTTATTTTATTCTTTCGAAAGGGGAGGAGATGATAGAAAGGTTTTTGTGGGACCTTTTGTTTTTAGTTTTAATTTTTAAATTTTGGTTTCGGGAAAGGTCAAAACAAAACGAAATGTGTCTGACGAGGAAGGCCAAGTGTCATAGTACAACAAACCAATCAAAATGAAGCAAGCAAAGCGTTTACTTCTGACGTCCCAACTGGATATGGTCGCAGGCTTAAGACTGCCCTAGGGCTGATTAAAATTTGTTTTTGTTTTATTTCTATCGAAAGGGGGAGAGGATAGGATAGTTTTTGTGGGACTTTTTGTTGTTAGTAGATATTTTTTTTCTTTTAATTATAGTTTCAGGAAAGATCAAAACAAAACAAAATGTGTCAGATGAGGAAGGCCAAGTGTCAAGAGTAAGACTTAATGAGTCGCCACTACTCTGCGCGAGTTTGTGTTGACTTCTGTTGTTATGGATTGGGTTTACGGAGTGAGTTGGGGGCGGGCCTTATAGGTTATGACGGATCATACGCTTCCCTTACCAGCAGCTGAAAATTTGTTGTTAGGCTACCCATTGGTCAATTTGAGTAAAGATTGGGAGCGACCAAAGCAACATGACCGTTTCATCCACTGGAGGGACTGACAACAACGACAGGTGAATAAATTATGACAGCTTTTCCACAGTGTCAGGGTAAAATGCATAATTTTTTACAAAGCTTGGATATCTTAGGCAGGTAAATTTGGCCATGGATTGATAAAATAGCTGGTGGCCGTGGCCACATTAGACATGAGAAAAGGCAAGGGGGGAAATAGAAAGTGGCCGTTTGTAAAGATGGCCTTATTATACAAGTGGGCGTCATGAAAGAACTATTTTGTAGTGCAAGGGCAGTAGTTCTTAATGGCTTGTGGTTGCGTGGTTTGGGCATGTCTTACCAGTTGCCACAGAAGATGAGCTTATAGTTATACTGAGTGTCCCCTTGTGAGGAATAGCGGAGCGCTTGTATGTCGACCAATTTTGTGTTCCCAGTGTTTGTTCTTAGTTGAATGGTCGAGTTTTAAACTCTTATACTGTTGAATATTTGCTGAGGAAAGTATGGTCAAGGTATTTGACTTCATATTGTCGAGGTCTTTGACACACCAGTCTGAAGACATTACAATAGTCGGAAGGTATGTGTATTAGAGGGTTTCTAAAGTCAATTCATGATTTCCTCCCAGCAATCGGGGATATGTTTCATTTTTATTTTTTTGGGGGGTTTATTTCTATTCTAGCCATCAAAGCTTTTCTGGCTGTGCATCCCACTTCACTCATCATGGAGTCAATGGACCAAGATGAAGGAAACTCTGGAGATGAAATGTTTATGGAAGTCTGTGATGATGGAGATGTTGAAAGTGAACCAGCAGGAGAGCAGATTGTGGAAGGAGCAAGTGGATCTCAGAGTATAGGACACGAGACTGAACTGGGGGACAGACGAGAAAGCGAACAAGAGTACACCATGCCAGTGTTTGAAAATGGTCGATTTAGAAACCCCTGGAAATCTTTGACTCGCACGAAAATAACGAATTTGTTCAGATTCATATTTTGCTCAAGAGATGAGGGCCGAGTTCCTAAAAAAGCTGTAAGTATTAACACAGCTTCTGTCTTGAAATGTGTGTTCAGAGGTTTTAAAACACAGTATAGTCACATGTTTTTTTTCTTTAATTTAAGTTGTGTTCATATGAAGTTCATTAGTGTTGAATGTACTTTCCAACTTTAAAAAAATTTGTTTTTTTGTGAAAACAGTCAAGTGTATCCATGTTTTCCATAATGACAAGAAAGTTGAAATGATGCCTGCAGTGATTATATTGACATTCAGCTATCAATTTGATATAGACAGTTGAGGCCATGTTTAAACTATTGATTTAAGCTATTTTGAAACCCCTGTAGGCTTAATATACATCTAACTGAATGTGAGGAGGAGATTACAGACCAGCGAAGGCCAAAGTTTATCCTCAATAACATGTTTGATGTTTTCTTTTTCTTGACTTTTTTAATTTAATTGATTTATTTGCTGAGGCATGGGTCTTGCATACTGTGCATGAAGGAAGGGAGAGAGAGAGAGAGAGAGAGAGGGAGGGAGAGAGAGAGAGAGGGAGGGAGGGAGGGAGGGAGGGAGGGAGGGAGAGAGAGAGAGAGAGAGTCACCTTCAATGAAATGGTACCTTGGACCATGGTGCTTTTGTTGTTCTGAATTTTACTTTCTCATGTGATCTTTGAATATTATGTCTTACTGATAAGCACAATGAATACAGGGTTTATTTTTCAAATGTGATTACCAACAATTTAACAAAAAATCAACATTTTGGCTTAAAATATGAGCAAATGTCATGAACTTTTCCCTCATGTCATTTTTTGTTGATACTCACTGTTTCCTGTCAGCTCAAATATTTTGAAAATATCTGCTGATGTGTTTTTATCACCTGTTTCTTTTTAGTGTGATATGTGACGAAAAGACTTTTTCATAACTGAAGCAACTAATTTCGTTAACTTATAGCCTATTGCTACGAGAACTTGATGTTAAGAATTTTCTGTAATTAAAGGAACTAATCTCTTTCTATTATTACAGGAACTGAAGTAAATAATTTGTTGTAGTTGGGGGAACTAATTTCTTTGTATTATTACAGGAACTGGACAGGACCCTTCCTGTCCTTCAGCCTGATTTGACAGAGTTCTCTGAAGCTCCTGTCTCTGGAATTCGGCATATGTGGATCGGCCATGCATCATCTCTTGTTCAGTTTGATGGTGTAACATTTCTCACAGACCCTATATTCAGTGAAAGGTGCTCCCCTGTCCAATTCGTGGGCATAAAGCGGTATCGACCAACACCTTGCTCTGTGGAAGAGCTTCCTCTGGTGGATTTTGTACTTATCAGTCACTCACATTACGACCACTTGGACCATAATACTGTTGTTGCCTTAAATCAAAGGTATAGTGTTTTTGAAATGGTAACACTAGCATAAATGATTGCGGTAGTCCATTTTTTCACGTGTTAAAATGTCACATATTGAAAGATGAGGATACACTGGCCCATATTGGTAATAATTTCTTTCCTGTTACTGCAAATTTTCAGAATCATTTCAGTCAATCGTTTTCTTTGCAGACAGAGTCTTATAATAGAAATGATATTTCATAATTGGAACATTCTTGTGGGCAGGACTTTACGGCAGCATGGTCCCAACTCTAGAGGGAAAAGTTGTCCAATATTTCTTTTTTTTACATACATTAGTAAACATTTGTGTATGCATTTGGAAAGTCAAAGGTTATCATTTTTTAATATTTATAGAAAAGGTTGAAATAATAAGATCTTTCTTTGAAAAGTACGAACAAAATACCAGAGGGGGGATATTTTAATATTTCATTTTCCTCTGACATGGATATTTAAACTTGTGTTAGTCTTTCTCTGAGGATTATTTATGAAAAGAGCACTTTGAAATCAAACTGAAATCTGTTTGTTTCCTTTTCTTTGGCAGATTTGGTATAAGCCTCCGATGGTATGTTCCAAGTGGACTAAAAAAATGGATGAATGAACGCGGTTGTGACAATGTGGTGGAGATGACTTGGTGGCAGGAGAATGTGTTCAACGAAAACCTCAATGTGAAAGTAGCGTGCACTCCGTCTCAGCATTGGAGCAGAAGAACAGGAAGTGATGAAAATAAGGTACTCCGAGGTGGTGTGATTTTGAATATTGCCTTTTCACAAGTATTGAGAGTAGAAATGACCTTTTTTTTTCAATTTTTTTGTTTCCCTGTGATTTTTAACATTTATAAATTTCAATGTGACATGTTGCCTGTTCTCTTCTATTCGTCTTAAATTTTCATCATACTTGAGTAACCTGACTTGCACCAAGGTTACTGATTCGAAACACTTGTTAACCCTCATCCTGCGGGAGCCGGGTTTATGTAGCCCGATAAGCCTATTTCGGCACCTCGCCTGCGTTCTGGTCCCGAGTCAGTGTAGCTCCTGGCTCAGCGCACGCGCATCCTCTTACGTGTCATTCGGGTCCCGAGTCGGATCCCCATTCACGCAGGTCAAGTGTGTGTGCGTCAGTCTGCTTGAGTTTGTGTGCGTTTGTGGCCTTCTTTTAGAACCACCTGCGTTGGTTCGTAATCGAGGCATACGTCTCATTCAAAACATGCCAAGTTGATAGCTCTAGATGTTCGTCCAATGAAATTATAGAAGAAATTGACCCACTTAGACATGAGGAGCTCGAAAGGATAGTCAGGAAACAAGACTTCCATTTTTCTATACAAAATATTTCAAATGAGCTTGATTTTGTATGAAATGATACTACCTGATAAAAGATGAGCTTGTTTAATAGTTTTGAATACCCTTGTGCAGGTACAAAGAACAATTTGAGTGTAAAACATTCGGAAATTGACCTAAATTATCCCTTTTCGAACCTCAGGTCATTCATAACAACAAGAGCGTCCAGAAAGGTTATTCAAATGGGCGTAACTACTCGTAATGTCTTATCAGTTTGTGAGAGGGGGTTATTCATGTGTTTGTAACACTTTATAAATAGAATGCTATGAAGGATAGAGCGTTATTTCATCATCAGTTAACACACTCCCGCGGTATTCATGGCGAAAACACGCGTTTCCCGGCGCGCGCGCTGTTCACCAACAGTACACACCGAGTGACCCCGGCGGCCTGCCCGGCGAGTCCGACGTAATCGGTTGCTGATAAGATACGCATCTGGGCACAGACGCAGGATAAGAGTTAAGATTGTTACGAAATCTTCCAGAGTACAGAGAGCTGTTATGGTAATTTCCACTATTAATGAATACTATTCTTCTTCAAAATAGTACGTAAATAGTCACTGGCACTCTGACCACTCACTCAAATTCAGAACAGACTCATCACTTGTGCAGTTTTACCATGTCATTGTTGTTTTAATGAGCTAATTTTTTTCTCCAAATATACATTCTTCAACTTGATTTAAGTTTGAGACCCTGCTACCTGCAGACCATTGTTGGGAGAGGAGTGCGAAACTTAGCCTCAGAGACATGTTTTTGTTCCTCCTCAGGTGCTATGGTGCAGCTGGTGTGTTGTTGGGCCCAAACACAACTTCCATTTCTGTGGAGACACTGGATACTGTGAAGGGCATACTCAGATTGGAAAGAGATATGGTCCATTTACTTTGTCTACAATACCTATAGGAGCTTACAGCCCTAGGTATATCTATTTTTCTTTTTTTTTTCTGAGAAAATAATGATAGTTTACTATTTTTAATGTTTTTGTAATGTCTTGTGTTGAGATTGCCATTACTTGATCAAAACATTTTGGCAGAAACTGTTTTGAATTACTGAAGGCAAAGTCTTTATAAAGTACTGATGTCTGAAGGAGGGCTTGTCATTTTACCAGCTTGGTTCAATATAAGTAATCAATAAAACAAAGTTTTAGAATATACTTTGATATTTTTATAAGACGGCATCATGAATGTAGGACATCTAAGGTGACATGGTTCTTTGTCTGCCTCAAGCTAGTGTCCAATATAAAAAGGTTTAAAAGGTTTATATATATATATATATATATATATATATATATATATATATATATATATATATATATATATAGATGAGGCAGCGTGGTGAAATCAGGCGCTCATCAAAATAACGAAATCAGAGAAACAGTCATTTTTCCGCCAGTTAGGAAATTTTAATCAAATTTTTATTTTTTGGTTTAAACTCTTTTATGTCCATATAAAAACACATTTCCAACTGAATTTTACTGAAAAACATTGATTAAAAACTTGAAATGTGTCATTTTTCAGTTTTCAAAGACTCTTTAGCTATTGAAGTTACCAAACTTTGGCGACCATTTTCTCGCTAATTTCAACACTGAAAAATGGCAACCTCACCTCCTTCTATCGCAAATATCTTGAGTTCTATTCAAGATAACTGGACTTTTATTTCATTCAAAGCAAGGCAAATAAATCAGCTTTGAAATGATACCAATAACTCCACATGCCAAAAAATTGACTGGCGCCTGATTCCACCGCGTCGTGACACACACATATATATATATATACATGTATACAGTACAACACAGATAGCTCGAATTCTTCGGGACCGGTCTCGGTAGTTCGAGGGATCTGTAGTTAAAGGGGTACTTGAACAGTGTCATGGCATCGGCTGTGTCAGAGAATCAAGGAAAGCAACAATGTTTGCTACTTTAGGGGCAAAACAATAGGTCATATGATGCACATCCTTTCCTCTCGCCCTCTCCACACCAGCCTAGCTAGATAATAATGGGGTGCGTGTGTCAAGCAGCGTGCTAAAAGCAACAAAGCTAGTTGCTTCTGTGGTGAGGGGAAGGTGGTATTATACTGACCGTGCCTTTTTCTGTTCTTTAATATCATTTTTATAATTATAATTTTTTCTCAAGTGCACCTTGTTGTTGTTTTCAAATCCCTCTAGCTGCTAGCATTTCGCTCTTGGTAGCGCAATGCCTCCCTCATGTTACTAAATGTCCTTGTCATCTGGTCAACGCCAGAGTAGAGTAGGCTTTGTAAGTCTGTAGGTGTGTGTAGGAGCCTGCGTCGAAGAACTGCCAGGTTTGGGCAGTGAAGGAGATGTTCAACGGTCTCCTCAGGGTAGTCACAGTGTCTGCAATGGGGTTCCCACATGGGGTTAATTCTGTTTATGTGCTTGTTGGTGTGTAAGTGTCCTGTGCAGGCTCTGAAGATCAATGTCTGATCGGCTCTACATAAAAAATTTGAAGGGTCTTTGGGGTTGGGTTTGTTCATGTACCCGAAGAGAGATCTTCCTGTTTCTGCGTTGGCCCATCTGTTTAGCCACTCATCTCTGCTTTTGGCTTTGATGATCCCTCTGCAGGTCTGTAAAGAGGCAGCTGTGTCTGTCTGGGGCTGGCTAGCTCCAGTCTTTGATAGCTGGTCCTCAGTCTCATTCCCTGGTACTGCAGAATGGCCAGGCAATGTGACCCGGACGCCATAGGAAGTGCCCATTTGTTTTACAAGGCTGAAAATGTTCCTGTCACCTCTGTAGTCTCCTCCTGCCTCGAAGACTGGAAGTACTGACATTGAGTCAGAGAAGACAACAACATTCCCTGTGCCTTCAAAAAAGTCTTGGGTGATCTGCTCCGGGGTCTTTACTATGGCAACTCTCTCTGCGTCATAGCTGGAGCTGTATGTTCCACATGGGCCAAATAGTTGGGTCTGCTTCTTCTCTCCAAGGTTGTTTCGATATTTGATGATAGATCCGTATCCAGCATTCTGTGTAGCTTTTGTTGCTGACCCATCTGTGAATGCATGAATTGGAGTTTCAGCATATGAGTCCTCTGTCTCCAGGGCACTAGCTCTGAGGATTTCTTCTGGTGTGGTCTTGTCACAAGAAGGGTCTAGAAGTCTCGTCCTTATTGCACCTTAAAGGACATTGAGTTTAGACCTCTACGGCGGTGCAATTAGTTCAACTATTCCATGTTTGTGTTTGAGGTTCGGGTAATTTTCTTACAAAGATGAAGAGAGAAAAATCGGGGACCGCAGGCACAGTTTGACGGATGTGTGATTTCGAGTCTTCTGAGTTTTACCTATCCGTGTTCTACTGTACCCTTTTTTGTTTTTTTAAAATATGTTTTAGTGAATATTTTCAGTAAGCTGGTCATATTTGTTAGGGTGAATGAGTTTCATGAGTCATTGCTACATTACGGGTAATAACCATGTTGAAGATATCTGTTCTTTCAATGGATTTTTAAAGATTCATCTTTTTTTTATATGTAAGAAACATTATTGTTAGCAGGGTAGAAGTTTTCTTTCTCTCGAGTATCGCTTGGGGGGTTTGATACAGACATATATTTTTTCATGTATTTTTATGTGTATTCAATGCATTTCAGACATTTGATGTCCAATATGCACATAGATCCAGCAAATGCAGTCAACGTTCATCATGACATTAAGTCACAAGCATCAATAGGAATCCACTGGGGGACTTTTGCACTTACCAATGAGGTAAGTCTTTTTTTCGTTGTTTTTTAAAGTAAACTTACAGAAAGCCCTATTGTATTCTTCATAGTACTTGTGTTTTTATTCATAAGACAATATCTTAGGGGTGGATTTTAACAAGCTTTCCATTTTGCTTTAGATTTGGGATGCATAGAACCATATGGTGATCTACCTTTGTTTATCTTATTTAATTGAGTATTCAGATTATGTTTGAGAGCTGGTTGAAAATGGGAGGGGTGGAGGAGTTTGTATCAGATATGTTTAATTTGGAACCAAGTCGTAGATTTTATTATTAAATATACTCTACGTAACCGTAAGTAGGAAGCATGACTCGTGATCTTTGGTAATGTCATAGAAATGTTAGCAGATGATACCTCTATGGTGTGACTATAAGCTTTGCTTAATTTCTCCTATGATGTTTACACTTGACATCTCATTGACAGCTCCATGCAGTGATTAAAAAGACCCCCCCCAAAAAACATGGTCTTTTTCTCTAACAATCCTTGTAAATTTGCTAATTTGAGAAAATTGTTTTGCTTCTTTTGATATTGTTTTTTTTTTTTTTATGGTTTTCTCTTTACTAGGAAAAAATGGCTTCTGGCTACATATTTTAGATCTCATTTGTTATATTTTACTTCATCCGTTGTAGGCCTACATGTGTGGTATTTTTTGAAAACACGAATGAATTAAGATGATTTTGGTTTCTCAAGTGTTAACATTGTACAATGGTTTTAGGACAATAATGCTGTATAATTTTACTTTCGATCTTTCCGGTAACCGTTACTTTGTTTGTCTTTTAAAAATGTATATTTTAGTGGCCATGAGGGCTTATATTATGTTTTAGAGCATAGATGTCTTTGTAGTTTGTTACCTGAGTGAGTGTTGGAAACAGTCAGGATGATATTAGGGATGAAGGGTTGCTTTTTTGTTAAAAATCTTATTTTAGAAAAGTTTAGTGAGAAACGTCATAGAACAGAAGCTGTCAACTAGGATGATGAAAATAATTATCTTTTGTACTTTTTTTTGTAGATTCATTTTTTGAAGGTTTATCTTTAATCTTCTTTTGCGCTCGTTGTTTCTACTTATTATTTAATTCAAATGCTCTCTTTTCATATAATGTTTCAATTCTACACTCTTTTAACAGCCTTATTTGGAGCCAAAGGAGTTACTGGGAACAGAGGTGCAAAACCGCAACATGAAACCTTCGTCTTTCTTCACAGTCAAACATGGAGAAATCCTCCTGGTTGGATCAGATCACTTTGATGATGTGGATTAATGAGACTGAAGTCGGTGCTCTCATTTTTCTTGCCTTATGAGTGGAGTATTCTGTGATATCTTTGTTAAATGCCGCTCAAATGGCATAAAAGATAAATAAAACAACATTTTGTATTTGAAGTCAAGCAGTGTTCTTACAGGAATACAACCATATTCGACGGTTGTGACTTTTTGCTAGTAGGTATCATACAGAACTGCAGTGTGGATGGCTGTTCTCAATGTAGCATTTTTTTACATTGGTTGTTTTCGGGTGGTTTTAATTGGCTTTCCAGCCGGTACTGTAACGTCATCGTATTAGAGATGGGCTATGTAATCAGAGATTTTGTGCTTTAGAAAAGTATACTGAGAGGTCTTTATCCCATGCTTATTTTGTATATCTAAGTGCGTATTTGAAAATTATAGGGACTATGTTATGCTTCAAGAGTATATTTTATATGTATGTAAAAACTGGTGATAATATCTTTACAATTGTTAATCAAAGTCTTAATTTGTACATTTATTTTATCTTTCTCAGATGTTGAAATTTAAAAAAATATTTATTTCTATTATCCCTAGCTTTGTGTCACAAGGCGGAGTTGAACTGTGCCCAATCCTCCTCCTTTCACAACCAGGTTTTGGTCTGGCTATTTCAGGGGTCTTTCTAAATGAGGATGGTTTAAATTCCTTTGTGTTTTCACAGACATGCATCTTGGTTTTGAACACTAATTTTGTACATTTTTTTCTCGAAATTTTGACAATTATAGACAAAGTTGTCATCACCTGATCGGAGGTAATATACAGCATCCAATCTGCTCTCTTGTACTCTAATTAAATCTTTGGGACCCAAGAAGTTAACCTTGTTACTCTGGGTTTTTTTATAACCTTAACTTAAAGAATTTTGCTCTCAAAGGGCGAGTAAGTTTGGTAATACCGACAACTATAATGAAGTTCTCCATGTATTGTTGAGTGAAATTACAAGCCCATGAGTAAATGAAGTGAAAACTGCTAAAATTAGAGAGGAAAGTACTCTACCTCATGATTTTTTAAATAAAACTATTTAAGAAAGGTGTGCAGTTTTTTGTAGTCAAAGTTGATCAAAATGATTGTTTATACAAAATTTCAGAATGTCAGAATGGGCCTTTAGGTTGTACTGGAATAACACGTTGACAATAATGCATTTTCTGTTAATGAATTATCTGCCAGGGACAAAAGAAATAACTGTGTGTTGATTTTAACGTTTTAACTTAAGATTTTCAGGTTTTCTTAATGGGCAGTTTGCAATCTATCATTTTTTCATGATGTGTGTTCGCCAAAGGATGTTTGAAGCAGAACTGGCTGTCAGGGTAATGCTGTTTCACAGTGCATTATTAGTGTTGACAAAGAGGATATTTACTTGAAAGAATGTTGTTTTCTGTCCTAGATATGCACATGTTTGTCATAATAACAAAGATTTTTTTTAGATTGTGGAATTCCTTTCTTGTTTGTATATCTTGCTCTCTGGGTTTGATGAACAGATATGAATTTCTAAATACAACCATGATGCAAATTGGTTTTCCTAATAGTGTGGGTTGAACTTACCAATATACAAACCTAGCAACACATTTATGTATAACTGTGGTATTCTTTTTTATCAATTTATTTGCTGATTGAAAAGTTGTTGTCATACAACGTGGCTGTGAAATGTACTGGTCTTGCTGGTTGTATTTTCCGCTCTTACTGTAGGCCTACATGTACTAGGCTGAGCAATGTTTCGTAACGCTAAATATTTATGCAAAAATTAGCTTACACCTTATCCATATTTTAAGTTTGCTAATCTTATGTTTTTCAGGGAGTAGTGAGAGGTCCTCTGTTTGTGACACAGAAAATGTAGACAGAGTGATTTACTTGCTGTGAATGTGGTGTAAAAAATTAACAGCACCACTCTGTCTAAATGACAGTCTACCAAAAATGTTTTAATTCAGTAAAAATGTAGCCTACTATGTTTGAGAAATTATACAAAGGCACATGGCAAGAAGAACCCTCTTTTAAAGTTTAAGGAAAAGCTTAAAAAATAGAGGAGACTTTTTCTGAACCCTCTGAATGTTTTCACTCCTGTTGTCCTGTGTAGATTTAAAAAATAAAAGTCTTAAAAGAGTTTCAACTCTTTTATATAGATTTAAGTTAATCCTTTTTCTGTCTCATTTCTGATGTCTGTTGGCTCAAACTTTCATGGAGGGAAATCAGATAGCCTTGACTTTATTTTCTTCATTGACTTTACAGCTGGGTTATTCCCTTGTGCTACAAGAAGCACCATTTTCCTAAAAAGAGCTCGAAGATGTGAATTTGCTTTGATGTTAAAAATCTTAGATACAAAGTGAACTTTAAAAAATAATCTTGCTAGTATGGATTGCAATGACAAATGCAAAGTTGAATTCAGATAAATCAAAATATATAAATATATTCACATTTATTCAGCTTTTATGTGAATGATCCTCTCAAAACATCTCATTCAGAAATGTTTGAAGGTTAAGCATTTTCATCTCACTGAGCTTCTGGGATAAATGTGTTCAGCAATATCATCTTGTTCACAGCTGTAAGCGATGTTTTAGATGTTTGATGTTTACCTCATCCATTTGATATTATAGTTTATAATTATTCTCCTAGGCTCTTCCACAATGCGACATATTAAATGTGTTTTGACAACAGCTGTGATAAAGGCAACAATGAACAACAGATCCCCTAATAGACCTACTGATTTTTAAGGAATTGGGGGATGGGGGTCTGTGCTGAACTTTTGCTCTATTATTTTTCTTGGAGGGTGGGGTACTCTGTGTGCCATATTTTATTTTTGTATCTGCATTTACTTATTTCCAGGTAGAGGAGTGTTTCTTTGCATAGAAATAGGTTTTTAAAGTATCTATTATTCTGTTGCCTAATACCTCAAGTCAGTGTGTCTTTACCACTCATGTACTCAGTCATCTATTTATTTTAATTTGTGACGTTACCACTGATGTAAGGGAGTTTCTTTGTGAATACACTTGCTACCAGTCCATAAAACGTGCTAAGACTCCAAAAAGCAACTCATTTAATCGGATTTTTACGCATATTGTTGTTGTCACAAGTAAAAAGCCTAAATCTGTTTTATCCTGCTTTACAGTAAAGTAAAAAAAGGTATGGCGTTTCTCTCTACTTTTTTTTCAATACAGTAGTCTCCGCCTAAACGCATGGTGCTCAGGAGGGCTCCTGAGCGTGTGTTTACACGGAGCGTGCGTTTACATGAACCTTTGCAAGGGGAGGAAGGGACGCAGTCATCTCAATTCCTTATTACTCTAGTGACCTCCCTTGGAGGAGGGGGTCATTTTGGCAGATAAGGTGACGACACGTGACTGTTTTGTGAAGGATTCCCCGACAGGGGTTAAGAATACAAAGGCGGGGGGGGGGGGGGAGGAAACAAACTCAAAGTAATGAATATATTTAATATACTATAAACGTCGGGAACAGATAGCCAATGAGGAAACGGTTGGTGATAGTCATAGAGTCGACGGACCAGCCACGTGGCTTTCCAAGCGACCGTCCCCGACCGTAAATTCATGCAGAATCATCCTCGAGAAACATTTTCTCTTGTGATTCGTTGAACAAGTAAGTTATAAGTTCTTTGAGCGCAGCTTATTATTAGGCTTACTTGGCTAATCTTTAATCCTATATAAGCGTGTCTAGTGTTTTACGGCTTTTACGCATTTCGCACCAGGCCTAGATCTAACTAAACATTACACGCAGTCACTCAAACTCAAACACCAGTCAGAAACCTTCTCTCAAAGATACATTTCCAGTAACCAATCAAAAAACATTTCAGTCCCCCCAACATTTAACCGACCAGCCCGAGACCGAGACCTATGCGTCAGTGGAAAGTAGGGTGTGTAAACGCTGTCTATCACTCTCTTTGTCCGGCGCGAGGGGCACTGTCACCAAATATCCGGTTTTCTAGTAAATTCTAGGCTTGCCGTATGCAGTTTGTGCAGGTTGTAGTGAAAATTTTCCCTTGCCAAGCTTAACTTGTCGGCGTGTTTCGCGGATCGGAGCGTGCGTTTAGAGGGAGTGACTGTGCGTTTGTACGTCTATATTATATAGTAAAAAACCCGTCATATGACGAAAGCGTGCGTTTGAGCGGAGCGTGCTTTTGTATGGTGTGCGTTTAGACGGAGACTACTGTAGTGGCAAAATATGGTTTTAACCCTGTTACAGATGAAGGACAATTAGTCAGGGTTGGGTTGATTTAAATCAGGTTGATTTAAATCAGTTGATTTTTTAAATTTAAATCAACTTGATTTTTAAAATAAAAATCGGTGATTTAAATCACTTTTTTTAAAAATAATTTTTATTCGGTTTTTACACATTTCAACATTCAGAATTCCTTTCCTTGGTTTCATAAAACAGATATAAGGTTCAGTAGACTAATATAATCATGCTTAAAAGTCTGATTTCCCCCCTTTCACTGTAAAATAATACAGTATTCAATTTACTTTTTTTTCCATAATTGAAACCAGAGCTGGGTTGATTTAAATCAGTTGATTAAAAAAAAATTTAAATCAATTTGATTTTAAAAATAAAAATCAGTGATTTAAATCACTTTTCAAAAAAATGTATTCAGTTTTTACATATTTATACTTTCAGAATTCCTTTCCTTGGTTTTATTTTAAACGGATATAAGGTTTAGTAGACTAATATAATCATGCTTAAAAGTCTGCTTTCCCCCCTGTCACTGTAAAATAATACAGTTCTCAATTTACTTTTTTTTCATAATTGAAAACCAGGGTTGGGTTGATTTAAATCGGGTCGATTTAAATCAGTTGATTTTTTAAAATTTAAATCAACTTGATTTAAAAAATAAAACTCAGTGATTTAAATCACTTTAAAAATGTTTTCTGTTTTTACATCTTTAAACATTCAGAATTCCTTTCCTGGGTTTTATAAAACAGATATAAGATAAGGCTTAGTTGACTAAAATTGCTTAAAAGTCTGCTTTCCCCCCCTGTCACTGTAAGTAGTAAAATAATACAGTATTCAATTTACTTTTTTTTCATTATTGAAATTAGCATTTTCTTTTTCTTTCTAGACAAACACAAGCGCGTGCTCACACACACACTGTAATAAAAATAAAATGCAAGTTTATCTATGCATAATTACCCCCCCCCCCCCCCCTTCCTTTTAGACTGACATTTTCTTCATTTTTTGTCTGTAGCCATAATTCACTGATAGCAGATTAAGGCTTTCTAAAATTGCAGTTGTTTAAATTAATCATTAGTTAAAATAAAGACAATGCATTTTGCACTAAAAGAACATACTTTTAGCGACCAAAAATCCCAAACTGTGTCGACATTTTTAAAAAAATATAAAAAATTTAAAAAATCCGATTTAAATAAAAAAAATCTGATTTAAATTTTAAAAATCTATTTTTTAATTTTTATTTAAAAAATCCAGTTTCGTTCTGTGGTATTTCAGCTGATTTAATTGGCTGTAACTTGAATTGGTGTTTTGGTTCGTTTATTCTGTTTTTGTATCGTAGGACATTTTTACTCTTTCACAAATGAGCTCTACTTCCTATTCATGGTCTACTTTCTGAAAATGTATATATGGCCTTTGCTTGCTTTATTTGCCTGTTTTCAAGCCTTTTTCAACATTGTGTGGTGAAATCGTGTAATTTCTCTTGATACCACAGGTTATTTGTTAGTGACGCTTGGGTGGGTAAATATGTTGTAGAGATTTTGCCATGTTGCTTTTTTGGTTTATTAGAATATTTCTTCAGTCTATTTTTGCTGTGGGTGGTTGGCGGGTGCTCTAGTGTGGTTTGCTTCTTCTTTCCTATCAAACATCTATCGTCCTTATCTCCATTTCATCTTTTTTATGTTTGTTACTCTCTTGTAACACCTCTAAATCTTCTGGCGCTCATATGACCTTATGTAGTTGAGAGCACCGTAAAATCCTCTACTAAAAAAACCCCAAAAAACTATTTTTGCTTAAGTTCTTGGGTAGAAATTAAATCGGATGCAATTCAAAGCCATTGTTATTTAAGATTAATATTAATTACTCAAGAATCATTAACATGACATTTCTATGAATATATTCTTTTTTTTGTGTGTTTCTTTGAATGGCATCACTTTTTTCCTCTGTCTCTGTCTCTTTCTCTGTGTGTATCTTTATCTCTCCTGTTTTGTCTGGTAACCTCTGGTTGGAGCTTGTTTTTTTTTTTTTTTCATTATATACTACCCTGTGGTTTATACCATTATTTTCACTCATATATATATATACACATATACCTTTTACTCAAATTGTAAATCTATTATAAGATAAAGAAAACATTTTGTATGATTTCATTACTCAGTAATTATCTTGAATTATTAGTTTTCAAATAATATTATAGTTTTCCTCAATGATGTAGCTTTTTTGTTTTAAGTTGAGTCACTGTTGATAGGTTTTGTATGTTCTTTCTTGAACCTGATTCATACTCAGAGTTTATGTAGCATTTACTTCTGTAGTAACATTATTACATGAAATTACAGTAAAACCTTGATAACATGAACTTCATTGAACTGAAAAATATGATCATGTCAAAAAGATTTTGTTTTAGGTAGAGTGCTGATGTATATCAAAAAAGGGGAGGCGACCCCTTTCTGAATGTTTGTTGCCTGTGTAATATATTTTTAGTTATATATGACACATGCAGATTTGCCAATTTTTGGAACTTGAAAAAAGGAAAACCTAATTTTCAGCCTCAGATGGTTGTCTTGGCTGCACAGAATGGGGTTCAATAGAGGTTGTAGGTGTGTACTTCATGATATTCCAAGCTACTATTCAGTTTTAAAACAAATAACAAAAGACACAATCAAGACACATGTTGTGTGACATATTTTGACAAAGGTAGGCTACTGTTGTCAGTACAGAAAAAAAAGGAAAGAGGGATAGGCTGCTGGGAGATATGATGAAACTGCCCAAAATGAATTCATGGTATCCAATTCTGCTGTAATTTTTTACCCTGTTATGGGAAGATATAATGCATAAAATAAAGAGAGGGAAAAAAAACTGGGATTTGTAATCCTTTTGTATTAACAGGAATTTCATGTCAAACAGGCTCTTGTTGAACAGAATCTACTGTATGTACAACCACTCGCATGTATGTATATGAGTCATTGTCTGAAAGTCGGCTTAAAGGTAACGCAGATTTTGGTTAATTAGGAAGAAAAGAATTATTCGCACTGGTTCTGGTACTCAGGTGTTAGAAAATATTGAAAGCTTAGGGGAATGGTCTAATCAGAAAAGAGTTAAAAAGAAGTCATTTCTGTGGATTGAAATTTAGGTCTAATTATTTGATTTCAGTTTTCAATCCTTATCTTACAAAGAAAACTTCAGGATCATGAAGTTTCTTTCCAATGATTGGTGCTTGGTGTATCTCTTTTCTCTTTTGCATGGATAGTTGTCGTATGCAACACAGTGCAATGTTAAGTAAAAGAAAGCTATACAACAACCAACGTGTTCATATACCATAGAATGCATCCATTCAATGATTTTGAACCTCATCTGCAGCATTCCTCCCTTTGATTCCATAATATTATGCTGCACCAGTTCTAACTTTGCACAGTACTGGTATCACTTTCATGCTCATGAAAAAGGTGGCCATTTTGTCTTTGAGTTCATGCTTTATGATGGTCAGTGCTATTAAAATGCCTGTGAGAAAACTGAAGGAAACTGTTGTTGCAAATTTTGTTATGGTCATAAAGGGGTTTAAGCCTCACTTCGGTCCGACGTTGTGCCCTTGGGAAAGGCATTTTACATGAATTTTCCATTTAGCTTGTTTTTTTTCAGAGGACGTTTAACTCGGAGGTTCCGCCTCACAATTGACTCCATAGTGTTGATAGGAGCATTAAACATATATTATTTACCGTTTCACATTTCAATAGGTGGTGAATGGAGGATGCGATGTGACTTGTCAAAGTTAACTGATGCACTGATATCATATAGTTGTGATGAATTCACAGTAGTTCTTGATGAGTTTTCGATGTCAAATAATATCTTAATATGCGAGACAAGTCTTCCGACTTCCACAAAACAGATAATGTGCATTCTGTTCCAATATTGCTTTATTTATTTTATTTTAAAATGCAATATCCAGTTCTTGAGTTGACTTGGAAAACAAGTGTGGTAACTTTGTTACACATTCAGAAATTTCACTTGAGGAAAGGGAAGCAAATCAATGCAGTAAAGGTCTTTTAGTGATAGGGAAAAGAAAGATGCGTTGACAGAAAAGTGATGACGTGGAATCTACCAGTCAGTTGCTAGTTGCATCTCTCAACTACCCAGTCAAGTCATGAACATTCATTTTTTTAAAGGGCAGCCATCAAGTGCATTTCAGAATTGGCATTAAAAAATTTGACCTAGCTGGGGATGGAACGGAATTAAAACTGGGCATTAAAAAAAAATAGAACAGAAAACAGGTGGGGAACTCCCCAAAAAGTCTAACTGGATATTCCCCCCTAACCATTAGGGTTCGATCCTGGACCATTGACTTTGCCAAGAAAAAAGAAAGCGACAGGTGAGCACTTGGGAGTCATGACTTAATTGAGGCCCCGCCTCCTTAGAGTGTCAAGTAGTTAGGGCAGAAACACCTGCTTTAAGTGGGTTCTTTCTTTGAAGATCTCCTACTGTCTGCTCGCCCCATGAGTTTTCTTCCACAATCATTATTTGTTTTAGAAAGGAAGTCATTGACTTTGATTTATGTTGAAGAGAATGGCTCAGAGTAGCTGTGTCTAATATTAATAAACCTCTTATCTATGACAACAACAACAACAATAGTACTGAGACGAGATGGACACTACACTATGAACAAACTATAAAAAATATAAAAATTTCAATCCAAATTTATTTGTGTAAAAAGCAGACTCTAAAACGAGATTCCAAAATACTCATCCCGTCACCAAACAAGATGCTCATAAATGCTCTCAGTTGAACATAACTATAGCAAGAAATTCTTGAAATATGTGATAACAATTTTAACTTTCACAAACATCTTTATCCTTCTTATACTCCCGTTCATGAGCACCTTGTCATATCCTTTTACTCTTTCAATCACACTCTTACTTTCCACATAAAGGAATCAAGTATTTGTCAGGCACACCTCCACCCACATACTCGCAGACAAACACACTCAGATTTGTACTCAAAGGAGCAAACAGTAAGTACCTCACACACAAGTGAGATAGAATTACCCTTTTGTCCCCTTTTCCTTTCCCTTTATGACCGTCTGGGTCACTCCATAACTCTGTCAATCTCATATACCCTCAATAGTGGCACTCTGAGAATTCCAACTCTATTTCTCCACTTTATAAAGGAACATCTAAAATGTGATAACGTGAAAAAAATGTTAGGGCATTCAATCATCGATGGGAGATCACTCACAGACAATGAAAGTTTAAAACCACAAGGGGCACTTCACTCAAAAAGAAGAGGACAGAAACAGAGATTGGGATGGAGTTCCCTTAAAATATGTTATTCCACACTTGTTAACTTCACACCAAAAGGACATATGGTATGTAATGTTACACAAGTCAAGCTGCTAAATATTGGTCATAGCTGAATTTCTTTTCATACGGTATACATATCCTTACTCCCCATTCTTTTGGCAAAAACAATGTCATAGAGAAAAAAAATCACTTGACATAAGATTCTATATGATTCCAAAGTCTGTTGAAACTCGTATACAAGTATTTGAAAATCGGTTCCCCGACATCTGTCCACAAAGACCAATCAGAATCAAACTCGAAGCGCTTCAACTCCTCCACTTTTTTGAAAATCAGAAACAGGAAACTGAAGAGACTTTCATGAGTATAAAGGAAAAAATATGCAAACAGGCATGCGGACATAGCTATAAGCAGAAACATCTCTCACAAGGGAGCAACTCCTGGACAGGCTTTTTAGGGGCAAAAAATGTGAACAAAGGCTTTTGATTTACAGACTAGAGGGTTGATTGCATCAATATGCGTACAACTTTGTTTTGTTAATTTGTTTATCTGGGCACTCTCTTGTTTTGTTGTAGTAATAGAAGCATCCATCCCGGCGCACCAGTTTCTTTACAAATCCATTGTGAGGCCATCTGTCGATCTGAAATGACGTAGTATGGCTTGAGATAAGAGTGCCATAGCATTTTGAAATAACATAAAACGTTCATAAGACTGAAACTTTAAAATCAAAATATGACACTCAAGACTCAAGAATGACATGACACTCAAGACTCAAGAATGACATTCTGCTTTTCTGCGTTTGCATCAGCTCCGCCAAATTATCAAGCTTTTCTTAAATTATCCTTTCATGAGGTATGGAAATACATAACGTGATCCACCATAATATGGTATAACATTCAATGATGTATCCAAAGATTCAAATAAATGGAATGTTATAACATTAAATTTCATGTTTATCCTATTATTCCTGAGGTATTAATTTAAATTGAAGCACGACAGCCAACCCAAACAATAGGTCTGTTCTTATGTTCTTTCCTAAAGTATCTTGAACATTCACAAAGTGTGCACTGGGATTTTAAGAGTTTCATTCTTTTATTCAAGAAGACAGATGTCATACTTATCTACCCTAAAGACAAAAGAGAATAAAATCATGATTTGGCCTCCACCCATTTTTGAAGAAAAAAACTTTAAAAACTCCCCCATCAATTCACAAATCACTGTAATTTGTGAGATTGTGGGTTGGAGGGGCGAACGAGACTCAGCTCTTTGTCTTTGGCAAGGGTACTTCACACCAATATTCCCTTTTGGCTTGGTATCATCAGAGATGAGCATTAAATTAAAATAGATCTCACCTCTTAAATAATCTTACTATGTTGAAAGGGATGATATAAAGATATAAAATTCTGCAACTGTCCTTTTAGAATGCAGTCTCTCCTTGACTGCAGTTTGTCACAACTTACAGGCTGGTTTTTTATTGTAAAAAAACAAAACACTTACATGATCTGTTCTCTGCACCTCACGGTACTCAATTTCATCTCTGTATCCAGCCAACTGAAATCTGTAGGCTTCCTCAACTTCTTCACTCCAGTGTGTTGGACGCTTCATGGACTTTGGTTGACTTACTGATGGCATACTGACAGCTGCAGCCATTACTGGAAACAGAACAAAGGAATTTTATGTTCTAAAACCAGGACATTAAAACTAAAGTATTTAAAAGTCTTGGCCCCTGTTCATTTTGTTTTCATAGTCAATACAAGCAAGTTACGGCAAAGCTGGCTTAAGACAGACTCAAATATCTATTCTGTTGAAGTTGTAAGATTATCTCAGTAACATTATCATTTTCTAGCTGTAGAAGAAGAACGGTCTTGACTCATATAAACCCATGAACTGAGACTGGCCACATATAAAGTTGGAGTAGCAATCAACAATAATCAGCCTAAACTTGTCTTTGCTCATGATTAAAAGTGTATGTAGAATTAGGTAAACCTCACCAGACAGAAGCAATATAAATTATGCACAACATTTTTCCATATATCAACTATAGCATTTTCAAATGAGCATGAATGTACTTTTAAAATTGACTGCATTTACTTAATAAAATTAACACTCTGTCATCTAAAAGTATTATACAAAATACAATATGCCCCTAGCAGCTAGAAGGCATACATATAAAATATGAGGAATTTTCTGTTGCTAAGGAGAAATTTAAATCGCCGCTCATAAAACCTTACATTTTATTTAAAATCATTCCAATAATGAAGTTCTTTTATTTTCTTGGCCTCCAAAATGTAAAAAAATAGGTCTATTATAGGCCAACAGATTCCCTGATCTTGAGGTCTGTTGTTCAAGAATGACATACAAGAATTAGTACGGGCCTAAACTTTATGCACTCTTTATTGATTTATTATAATAAAATTATTAGCAGGAAACAAACAAAACTTCAGACGCATGATATATTTAGCAGGTACCACAATCACATCATACATTATGGAAAAAAAAGCTATAATAAGTGTAATGAAAGGTAAAGGTGAATCACAGTATTTTGGTAGTAATGCTAATGGATAGAAGAAATTTCTTTTGACTTTGAACAAACCTTGAAAAGCATTCATCTCAAACCTACTGCCATACATTAATTACTTAGTCTGTTGTGATCTGCCTCCATAAGTATACACAAAAGACTATTTTTCTGTCTTTCTACATTCTGGGGTAACATAATTATGTTTGTTGGTCAAATCTCATCCTATCCTCTATTCAAAAATCTTATCACTACCACAAGGAAAAAAACCCATGGAAGTAACGCAACCTTGTCATTGTTTTTAAAATCAAGGATCACTTAGGGGGTTGGCTTTGACCTGTCTGTACTGTCAGGGCTACTTGGTCAAAGAGTGATGCAAAGTCCCAACAGAAACACCAAGATACTCAATACAAATTCTTCAAACACAGAAATCCAACTTGGGTCTTGTGGGTGTGACGGCAAAGCACCTCAGCGTTACACAATAGACGCTGAAAAACTGATTTCAAATCAACCTAAAATAATTGTTTCCAGAACTGACCCATCTTCTTCTTCCAGCTCAGACAACAGATTATTCAATTGTTCACTAATAAGGTAACAGGTAGGAGCAGTGTATAACAATTTCCCTAGATCTCAACTGAAATCCACAGCAAACACCCGATGCAGCAAGTGATGAGTTCTAATGAACACCATAGCAAAAAGAATAGTGATGTAAAATGAAGACAGGTCTCTTTGTGAAAATCAGAACAAGAAAGATGGGCAGATTTTTTAATAATAAAATGTGAAGTTCAGAAGGTCATTTTATTCTAAGATATGTTTCCCGGGTCATATAGCCAGATCATTTGTAAAACCAATCTAGTAAAGGGAGATTAGTGACTCCACTTTCATTCTTTGGTACCTTAAACAGAACTTTCTTTTCATAAAGCCATTTCCCTTATTGATCCCAGCTGATCCCATGTCATCACCGTTAAACAATGGAGAAAAAAAAAAAAATCACCGTTAAACAATAGGAAACGGCTGAAGAAACCCATCTTAGAATATATGCGAGATTCGGTTGGCTGGAATACTTACGGAGTTGTAGAAATTTGAAGTGAGTACTAGAAAAGGAAAATCAATAAAGAAAAGTCTTCAAGCACTATTTTCACTTGAAGCATACGCTCAATTTTTAACTTCATTACTTGTAAAGGACCCTAAAGACATCAGTTTTTTTTTGTCTGTTCTGGTGGATCCAGAGTCATGTGTATTCAGGGTACTCCATTAAACAATTGACATGAATATATACAGTACCCATTGTGGGAAATTCCTCAATGAAAGGTTTTTTAAATGAATTTTTATTGCTCAGTAGTTTACACCATACCACACACAGACAGGTTATTTCAAAAGTGGAGCATCTATTACCCTGTCAAAGTAATGGGTTTAAAGGAACTGAGAACAAAACTCTTGACCTCTTCATACGTAAATCTCAATTTACATCAGGACATCAAGTTCAAAATAAAATAGCGAAGGACCACGGCTCCCTTATGAAAGTGATGAGAGCAACCCTTAACTGCATTGTAAAATGGAACATGAAAGTTTGCTCTCCTTTAAGAATGAGTGTCTAAAAGAAGGTTACTGCAGTCCCTGCATGGCCCTTGATGATACCTAGATCTACAAACACTAAAGATGTGATTGGAGCAAACAAAAGTGTTGTTGTGATTCTACATAAATTCTCATTTGCTAATAAAGTATATTGGGTAAGGCAAGGTCAATATGATACACTTACGTAAGGCTATGGTAGAGGGCTTGAGCACTTGGCAAGAGATTGGTTACGGAATGGGTAAGAGCACTCAAGCAACAATAGCAGTGGTCTTTAAAATGACCCATCAATTTGAAAAGCCCTTCCATAAAAAATTATGTCAGCAGAATATGAAGAGGGAAAAGGGGGGTCGTGAGGTCAAATTACTACAGCAGGATATTTGTGTTCCATCATATTAGCCTTTTTTTCATAGTGCCTTTAAGAAAGGTAAAAAAACGTGTCTGACGGGTAGCATAATATTCTTCTGTTTTACGTCTGTTGAGCATCATAAATAACATGATGGTCTTCAACTGCTGCTTCAGTTCAAGGGCTTTCATCAATTACGTGTTTCGTTTTCTCAGTCAGAGAGAAAGCAATAATACGTTTCTCTCACTCTAGAGAGCATTTCAAAACTTTCATGTTGTGGATTAAACAAAAAAAGCTTTTGGCCAAGATCAGCAAAACATATATAACACAGCTCAACTTTCAAGATGCCCTGCTGGGATTTCAACAAACTTTTAAAGCAGACTGTCCATGAACTTTGGGCTTCAACCAAGAAATCTTTCCACAACAGTCATTATTTAACTCTACGAGTGAATGAGATGGAAGCCCAGTCTTCGAGTGGATAGTCCCAGCATCCGGTAAGTACAGAGTGCATGAAGCATCACAAATTACACTGCTGCTAATGCAATCTCTACGAATCCATTTACATTTTATTTTGACTTAGCGATTTGAAGTGTTAGATAAATCATGTGTATAAACTCTTTCCTTGGGCACAGTTTTAGCCATTTAGCGTGTATCCTCCATTACTTGTTTCACGAGATATGGAAAAAATTCCTTCAAAATATAGGAATTAATTCCGAGGTCAAAAGCTGAAGAGTAAATGAAATAATTCATTGCCATATGTTCATATTGTACAAAGTATTATAGCTGTTTCGACTGAATCATTGGTACTAGTGTCATTTTGGATGGGTCTAGGACTCATCTGTATCGTATGAGTCATTGATGAGTTAGTTCATTCTCTTTCAGCCTTCACTTCAATCATTTTGGGAGCTTAAATTTTGGGTTTGATTGCTTAAGTTTTAAGGATAAATGTAGCCTATTTTTTAAAAGACAACTAAGATCAACAAAGACCATAAATATTACCCTTTCCTTTCTTAAATACGATCATAGCTATACTCATATACCCCTGCCTAACTCGAATTAAATCTCTGAAAGACTAGATCTAGTCTAGATCTAGACTATAATCACTAATCGGAGTGACTCCGATAGTATAGGATAGGCATAATCATTCATCAGCAGTTGGCGTTGGTCCGTTGGTAACTGCCCCCGTTAACTTACCACACGAACTATTCCTTTCAGATTGTCACAAACAACAAAATTCCCAAATAAACAAACAAAGTCAAAATTTCATTTCATTGTCTAAACACCGTGTGAGAGTTGTAACAAACAAAGTAAATGATATAACACTGAGTGTGGCTGAGAAATAGAAACCATTGCAATACTTACGCCAAACGGACAGGAAATTGTAGAAAAAGTTATGCGAATCACTAGGCAACCGCGTTATCAATATTGATCACAAACTGAAAACTACTTAAAATGTGATTAGCTAAAAATATGAAACATTAAAATTGCTAGTTTAAAAAATTATTTGACCATTTTGTAATAACAAAAACATAATTTTGGCATTATTTAAGCCATTTTGTGTTGATTTTGATTTAAAAAGATTGAATCTTTGAAAAGCTTGCATAAAAATAAGTCCGCAGCCCAATTGAAGTGTTCGTCTTATTTTCTTTTCGGTGTTTTGCTGTGAATTTCTTTTTCTCCGCCCGGTGACTTTCTTTGAACAGAGCTGCGAAGATAAATGCCAATTATATAGGCCTGCATCAAAGATGGTGTATACCAGTAGAGAATCTTTGCCTACATGGCATTTTATTGTTAGTAGTACCCCCCCCCCCCCATGAGTTTTGTTTTGTTTGAGGTTCAATGTTTCTTTTTCAGGTCTTTAAGTTTGAAGGCGAAATAATAGGCACTATAAATAAAATATGTGTAGATCAAGGAGTTCATTTACTTACTTTTAATCTCCTTGGTGTAGATCTACCTACTCGAGGGTGAATGACAGGCTGGAATAAGTATTATGTGACCATGACTATATGAGGCCTGAGGCTATTGAGACTGATTTGGGGGGGTGGGGGTGATTTTTTTGGGGTTTTTTTTTGGGGGGGGGGGTTGTCTAAATTAATAGCGATAATGTGTGCTCTATACGGCTGTGAATATCAGAAAGTTATAGCATTATAACAGCGAAAATAAGATATACCAGTACAAGCAACTGATGGGTCTTATAAATAGTGTTTTCTTATAAGGCTGTCAAAAATTCCAAGGAAGGAAAAGAACTCAATTGAATTGTACTGAAATCCAAGTTAGCCACTCACTCTTTAAAGCAATTAGTAAGAGACAAAACGCAGTTTGTGGGACACATGAACCGACAATTTGTATTCTTGAACATCTTGTTGTCACTGAAAAAGAAAAACAATAGTTGAAAGCAAACAAGACAAGGGCGTAGACAAGGAACAACCTGATTGGAAAACTTTTAAAGACGAATGACGCGGTAAGACGAGGGTAATCAGATTTTTTTTAGAGCATCCAGGTAGAAAAATGAATTAGGAACTATGGTTGCTGAAGTCTATTTCAGATCTGGCGTTTGATGATAATGATGATGATGATGATGATGATGATGATGATGATGATGATGATGATGATGATAATGATGATGATGACGATGATATGGTCAAAAATGACAAATCGGTGTCAGCGTAATACATGTACATGTCTTTAGATTGTTGTTTGTCCTACTTTCTTATCTATTCCACCTTCATCCTTTTTCTAAAAACTGCTCGGATCTCTCTCTCTCTCTCTCTCTCTCTCTCTCTCTCTCTCTCTCTCTGCCATCAAACCCCAATGCCCCCCCCCCCAGGGCAGTGCTACGGGCTGAAGTTGTCTTTAGGCCATTCCCAAAGGGGGTATATTAACATGTTCTTATGCCCAGTAGAATTGTATGAGCTGATTTATCAATGTCATGCTCATATTGTGCCGGAACAACATATTGGGGGAACAGCTGCTTCTTCTTTCCTCATCCTTACTATCGTCATTTTTACCTTACTTCTTTTGTATGTTTGTTGTTCTCTTGTGAACTGCTATTTCCGGGGTGCCTTGATAGACGAAGCAAACTTCGTGCTGTTGAGGCTAGAGAGGTGAGCAGAATAAGCCTGATTCCCCGTTTGGACTTCTCTATTGACCTCCACCCCTTGACGCTCATATGATCTTATGCAGTTGAGAGCGCACTAAAAACCTTACTAAAACTAACTAAACCCCGTTGCACTACCTACATTGAGACGAGCTTGAAGCTGGCTGTACAGCGAGGCTGGCGGTATAACAACGTCACGTACGTAGACCTATTTCTTCTAATTATAGTTTATTATGTGTCCCATCCCGAAATAACACCGATAGTCATCTTGAATAGTGAAAGAGACTAGATACAAATTGTGGCCAGTCTTGGACTCATCTAGATGATAAATCTGTCAGGTGCGATTGCTTTGCACTGGGGAAAAACGAATAGCAACCAACTTCATGTACAGCTCACGCTGAACTTTGTGTAAATTCAAATTAAAAATGTCTACGGAATCAGAAGCTAGGCTATTATATGTGTCAATGGCCCTGTAGATGTATTTTTTCCCTTCGTCCTCGGGTCGCTTCAGACCTTTCAAGCAGCATTGTGAGTCCTCACAATATAAAATGCTCACGGGTGCCCGCCAGCTGATATCTGGCAAATCCAGATATTTTACCGACAGGCCGAGGTGGTGCACTTACCTTGAAGTTTCTCCAGGCGGTTTTAAGATTCATTTCCAATTTCTAAATGAAATATTGATAAAAGCCTAAAACTAGTAGTATTTTCACAATCAGTGTAAATCAGGATCAAATCGGTGAAAAATTTTATGCGAGAAATAGATCGAACTCGCAGAGACGTCGGTAAGACAGAGATTATCAATCAGCCACCAAGTGAGTGCCGGGCGTCGTGTGAAGTGTGTACCTCTGGCAGCCAATTCGCTGGCGGTAGAGCGGGGCAAATTTACATTCATACATGTATGACGAGGACCGTACAACGCAGACAGTTGGTGGATGGCAGGTGGCGGATGGCAGTGTATAGGCGCAAGCTATGTTTTAATACGCGACCCGTTTCGTACATTGGTAAAACCTGACGGTAAGCTGGGCTGGCAGTACAACAGGAAGCGGTACAACGAGGTTTGACTGTATATCTAAAGGCCCCCATCCTCCCCACTCTATCTATCTATCTATCTATCTATCTATCTATCTATCTATCTATCTATCTATCTATCTATCTATCTATCTATCTATCTATCTGTCTGTC